GATGTATGTATGCTTGGAATATGCTATGGCTGGACTCTTTGTGCTGGTTACGAATCGTAATAAAGATTTCTGATCTGAGTGAATTCTCTGTTGGTGTTGGTATAGCTTATAGCTTTGCAAGGGAAGTTAGGAAAGTATTGGTCCCTTCTCATTCCTGTTGTGACCACTGTGCAGACTTTAGTTCTCTGTCAGACTCCTGTGTCAGCATTAGTATTACACTTGAAAAGAATGCAAGAATAGTTTTTACATGGGCAACACCCCTACACCCAATTCATTAAGCTAGAATCAGAGTTGCTTGTTTATGACAGATAACATTTTAAACATCCAGGTAGAGTAAACGAATTAAAGATTTCTAATGTATTCAGTAACACAGGAAAGGAACCATTTTCATATGCTGAATATATGAGCTGGCTGGTAGTAACCAGTAACTCTGAACTCGAACACAAAACAAAACCATGTTTCAACCAAGAGTCTGAATCTAGTGCTTTGAAGTAAACTCAGCGGGTTGAAAAACAACAACAACAACAAATCTGTAATGTATTCTATGTGATGCCAACTGAATACAAGAGTTATTGTGAACCTCCCCATTGACACCTAATGTTAAGCTTCATCCTGGGCTAGGATCCAAAGACATCCTATCAGAAGACTAGCCCAGGAAACGGAGTCCAATCACTTCACCGCTAGCTCCCTGAGCGGGAACATTCGTGATTGGTCCTTATTGGTTCAACCTCATTGGTTGGTTATTGTACAGTGGGTGTGGCTATATTAGCCGGGAATGTTTAAAAGCAGGACAGCTGCAATGTTAAAGCTGTTCTGGCTATCAGATGTTGATCCGTGTTAGAGTTGTGTGCGTTCTGAAGAATAAAGTTGTGTTCTTGCTGAATCACTCTCTGACTGCTTTGTTAAGTGAGCAACTTAACAAAATCCGTTAATTAAAAGCCTGGGTAAAAATAGATATTTTGACCTGGCATCTGAAAGAGAATAGGGTAGCCACCAGATGAGCCTCAAAGAGAACATTATTCCACAGGCAAGAGGCCATCACTGAAAAAGTCTAGCCTGGTCACCGCACACCTCACCTCCGCAGGTGAAGGCACAAAAAGCAGGGTTTGTGATCTTGACTGACAGACACCCATTCTCTGTGGTTGTGTGTCACATATGCCATTTTACTGGAATCTAAGGGTCAGCAGTAGGCCCAGAATTTCTGAATTAGACCACAAATCTCTTATTCTCTTCTGTCTTACACTAGGAAATCATGGATAGTGCTAAAAGCACTGGACATCTGAGAAGCTGACAAAATAATAATGGGCACAGGTGCATATCTGTGAGGTGAGGACTTAATTTGGGACACTCAGAGATCATTTGTAATTTTTCACACTTTGTGCAACAAGCTCAGAACAGCCTTTTAGCCTCCTAAGGACTGGGTGAGAGAAAGACATTAATTGTTCAAGATGTTGCATTGTGAATATGCAACCCCCAACTCTGTGGTATCAGGCTTTTTTCTGGTTAAATATACCTTAATTGCATTTTTTAAAGGTGGCTTACTTGAGGGAAGAACATTATTTAGAAAAGAAGATCTTTACAAATATTTCACAGTGAAAAAATCGAGGAAAGATTTGTCATCCAGTTGTGCATCATTTTAAAAAATGGATATGTATTTGGCAAAATAAACTTACAAAAGTGTGTTAGCCTGAAGAATAATTTCTGTAAGGTACAGTGTACATCCCAGCCCACATAGGAAGTACAAACAACAAAGCATTGATTTCATGTGGAGTTCCTCCCTTTACTTACCTTGGCAATGTTATTACCTCACAATCAATACCGAGAACATATATTTAACAATAGCACCAGTGATATGATGTGGCCTGTAAAAGTTTCATGTTTGTTGCATTCTAAGATTGTGGAAGTCTGTGGAGCTGAATATCCCATCTAACAATGGCCAGGTGGACCATATCAAGAACAAAGGTACAAGAACATGCTTGTGTAATAGATTATTACACTAACAATAATTCACTTCAAAATATAAGGCAAAGTACTTCTAAAACAGAAAGTATCTCTGGAAGCAGGAATCATAGAATTGATTTAATGGCACTATAAATGGTGTCATAAATTAATACAATCTTTGCTTAGCTTCAAAAGCAAGCTAGTTGCAGTCAAAATGCAAAAGAAAGCCGGCAATTTGCATTGAGAATGGGAGGGGGAAAAACAGACATAGATCAAAGCTGTGGGGTTAACACACTAACAATGCTACTATGTGATAACATACTAGCATATGCAATCCTGACTTCAGACTTCAGTGGACTTAGAACACATTTTTGATGAAAATGGCAAATATACAGCAAATACTTAAGAACACTGTCCTGGAAGTAAGTCCCATTGAATTGATCTGGGTAGGATTCTGAGTAGACCTGCATAGGATTCCTCTGATAACTTCTCACATGTTCCTTGTGTTATGTAATTCCTTTAGTGTAATACACACAGAATGTATTTTAATTGATATTTATTTACAAAAGTATTTCCAATCCACACCTGAAAGTCCTTTGGTTGTATACCACAAGAGTGTTGTTTTGTTCTTTTTACTCTGCAGCTGGCAACAGCAGACTTAAAGCTCTGGATCTTCTTAATTTGACAGTCCTCTGTCCAACTCCTAAAAAATGCTGCAACCAAAAAGTTCCATCCGAAGAGCAATGCCCTGATTCCATGTTTTGGGAACAATGCGAATGAACCTGGAAAATATAGGTGGGTTGAAAAAGTGCTTGATCTGTCCATTACTATTAATATTACCCATGAACACCTGAAAGTAAACAGAAAATATTTAATTAGTGAGATGGTAAAAAGAATGCATGCTGTTTAAACATATTCTTATGAATTCTTTGAATACTTGAAGGAGTAGACATTTCAAGTTTACACAATGGGTAGGGTTGCCAACTCTGGGTTGGGATTTGGGGGTGGAACCTGGTAAGGGTGCGGTTTGAGAAGGGGAGGGATGTCAGTGGGATATAATGCCCTAGAGTCTACCTTCAAAGCAGTCATTTTTTCCAGGGGAACTGATTCCTGCAGTCTGGAGATCCATTGTAATTCCAAGAGATCTCCGGACTCCACTTGGAAGTTGGCAACCTTAGGCATATAAGGTCTGCCTTCTTGTTGCAGAAAGGGGCAGGGCTGTCCTGACCTTGCCACAGATGGGATGTCAGTTCCAAAGATCCTTCCCCACACTCACCCTCCTTCCTTCCTGCCCCCTTCAGCCCCACAGCAGGCAAGGGCTTTATAACTGGCTTCCACCACTCTGGTTCTAGGGCTTTACTAGAGAGGTTTTACCATAGAGATTCCAGTGATTTCTTGAACTACCCTACATCAGGTTTCCCCCAGAAGTGCTGTAGTAATGTCCCCAGTATCACACACAGACCCAATATCTTCACCCCTAGCTCTCCCACCAGTTGTCTGGCTTGGCTTGGTAACCCTATGCATGCTGCTCTGCTCCCTAGCTTCATGATACTTCTCCACATTAATATGAACCTACAAAGCTGCCTCACACAGAATTAGACCATTGGTTTGTTCTATGAGCCAGCTACTGAAGAATCCCCAACCTTGTTTAACCTGTGTGCATTTTTGGAATTTTGAAAACAGGCATTACTCTAATGGTCTGTGCATATAATTATCAATTCCCATTTGGCAGGTGGCAACCCATGTTCAGTTGGGAAATTCCTGGAGATTTGGGGTTGCAGAGTGGGGAGGGCAGAGTTTGGAGGGGGAAGCTCAGCAGAGATGTGATGCTATAGAGTCCACCCTCCAAAGCTGCCATTTTCTCCAGAGGAAGTGATTTATGTGGTCTGGAAGTCAGTTATAATTCCAGGAGAACTCCAAGATGGAGGTGGGTAATCATACTACTGAGGGACTTAGCTATTTGTAGATGTTGGGGGAAGGTAGCAACATTTTTGAAGCTTAGCATGTTCCTGAGGTTGAACTAAAAGCATACATAGAGAAAAAGATGGCACCTTTTCCATGGAAGTTGAGCTATCCAAATAAGGCCTCCATGTTGACTCATTATCACCGTAAAGGATGGAGAATGCTTTCACATACATTTCAGTAGTCAGTGATTTGGCACCTTGGGTAACAATAGCTGTTATCTTCTTAGGTTGAAGGAGATCGATCTGCAGCCACTGATTATTGTTGTTTGACTATAGAGTAAATAAGTGTAACAATCATATTGTGTAATTTAACAGCCAAACTGGTAAATATCCAAAATATACAAATAATCTGTTGAGTTCTACAGAAATGCCCAGGGCAAAAGGATTATAATGAAAGGATGAAAAATGCTGCCCATTGTTGGATACTGCTACTATGGGTTGAAAAAACATATGGAGAGTGAACATAAGATGGAAAATTCAAATGACCAGAAGCTTGGATCCAGACCAAACTTTCCAGGAGCAAGGACTTCCCTCCATGGAGCATGATTTTGACACCTCCCTACTCCAGTGGCAGCCCAAAATACCCCCCAAAATCTTTAAACATAAACATAAAGATCATTCTCTGTGGGTGGGAATCCTGATACCCATGGAAATGGACTGAACCCTGTGTTTCTAGTACAATGGTCACATGCTGATGAAAGAAGCCTTGGGAAGGGACAGTGGTTCAGTGACCAAGCTCTTTGCTGTGTGTGCAGAATCTCCCAAATTCCATCCCTGGTATCTCCAGCTGAAAGGTCTCGAGTAGCAAGCACTGGGAAAAATAAGTACGTATTTACAAGTTTTTTGATTGCTGATTGCCATTTTGGCTTTATTGGTTTCCTTTTAGCATTAAACAGTTGAAAAGTACGCAGACGGAGAGTGATTTCAGCAAAGCGTACTTTATTCGATCAGGAACAAGACGGCTTTGGCCGGCTCGCAGGCCGGCTTATATTCCCCGAGAAACCGCCACCCAAAACACTTCCCAATAGGTTATTTACAGTGGCTGAGAATCCCATAGGCTCTTGGCCGGGAACCTAGCCCCCTGATTGGAGCGGGCTAGGATCCGCATAGTCTATTGTCTCTTGGAGCTAAGCTCGACGTTTGTGCCTGACCGCGTGGAGCCCAAGCCGGCCACGCGGTCTGGACTGGATACATTATAACAGTTAATATCTATCACTTAAAATAAGGGTGGTCTAAAGGTAAGTTGTACTCCAATGACTAATTTCTGGTGGGCTACCTAACACTCGTTTATGGATTAGACCATCTTTCGATTGTAGCCATAAAACGTTTTTTAAACACATGTATGTTTGCTGTCAGCAGCAGAAGCTTGGACTGTGCAGTTTTTATCTTACCTTTGCTTGCCAGGCATTCACCCCCCCTTCTCTATTGAGGCGGGCAAGGGATGGCTGCCATGAACGAAACCAATTCTTCTTATAGGAGGAGGCTGTAATCTGTGCATCCTTAATAGCCCCATTTTCTAAACCCAGTGGCATAGAGCAGCCTGTCATTAAAACAGCAACACATCATGGTTAGATCACTTAACCATCAGAATGGTTTCTAAGGAACATGTCCCAGTCTGGGAACCCCATTCCTATTGCTGGCTTCTTCAAGCAATTTTGCCACCTTAAGCTTAGCTTTTCTCTCTTTTAAAATCTTTCCTATTCCTCATACTTAATGTTTCTGCCACAAGAAAAGGAATATGAGAATTGTGTGACCATAGCATTCTCTAGTGAGGGCCCCTTAACCTTTCCAAATGCATGTGGATCACCAGTCAGACTTGTGGTTCTTTCTCCTCCTCCATCTCTTGCTCCAAATTGGAGTGTCAGACCATGAGAACAGAGGTGGGGAAAGGTTCCTGTGTGGGGAGGGCAAGTGAGTGACAGAAGGCAGGAAAGCAGCGCCAATGTAGGTCTGGAATTTTCCTCCTGGCCAGTTTTCCTTGCATGTGATTTCTCAGTGTGCTTGTTCAGAACTATTATGGCTCTCTTGCGTCCACTGAGCTAGGGATATAGTTGGGGTATAAAATGTTGATATGCATTCTGAATTCTCAGTTTACAAGATGATGGAAAGTAATCTTTTAGGATGGAAAATTAAGTTGTGGCATTCATAAGAGACTTTTTCTTTAGCTCTTTCCACCTGGGGAAGACTCAAAGGAGTCAGTGCGGGGTGGCTGCAGGTGAAGCATCCATGGGGTTTCTCTACCCACAGCCCATATAAGTAAGGGGTAAAGCTAAGCTCTGCATTCCTCCCTTCAGCCCTTTAACTGGATTTTTTTCCTCCTCATGGCTGGGTGGAACTGCCCCTTTAACAGCAGGTCAGCTGGGAAAGGGGGCTGAGTCGGGGGCTGCTCAGGAGCAGGGCATGCAGACACCATCCCCACCCATCTCTATCCCATTTTTATTACTATTATTATTATTACATTCAATTCGATTTGCTGCTGGTTCCACACCAGGGTGCCTTTTCTTCCTCCTTTGTGGGAGCAGTCTTTGTTAAGTCAATGAGGATCTTGTTGAGTGGTTCACCAAAGGGAATTTCCTTCCTTTTTCATCAAGTAGCTGTATTTTAGGTGAGAGGTCAGTGTTCCTGCTTTGAACCAGAGGTGCCCCTAGCAGTGATATTTATGACCATGGTTAAAGGCAGAAAGTCTGGCAGAAATAGGACTGGTACCTGCAAGATATATTGCTGCCAGTGACTTCCTGCTAATGGTAGATTCTGCTGGCCAAGGGGAAGGACAAGCTCCTTTTGGTCTTTAAAAAAGCTATACAGGAGACTTCCAGTTCATGGCGACACGCTGGTGGATGCATCTCCTGGACCTCCCGGGGATGTGATCTGCGCACCAGCGGATAGGAGGGGGGACAACGGGTCGCCACCCCCCGGAGCCTTGGCAAAAGACTCCTAGCCATGGGGCTTTTGAGGGGCGACCTCTTTGCCAGCGCGATGCTGGGGAATTGAGGCATCCTCTGCCCTGACGGTCCTGCCGCTGAGTGTCCGTATGGATCTAGAGCTGCTGACCGGGACAAGCTTCGGAGATCGAGCGTTTTAAATGTGTTCCGAGCGAGGTCGTATGACCAACAATGAACAGTGAGTCAGGTTAAAGCGAATACGAGAATTTAACAAGAAAGCGACCCACCAGGAATGGCAAGAAAAGCGAACGGGGGAGGGGCCCCTCCCATGCACATGAACTAAAAAATGATATACCAAGGGGGGAGTGAAAGAAAAAGCATTGAAATTTGTTTTGAGAGACTTACCAGAGCGCGGATAAGTGTATGGGCAAATTTCAGAGACTTTAGCAAGTTTTCATAAAAGTAAACAATCCATAAAGATGGCGGGGAAGAGGGCAGAGAAAGACAAACTAGCAAAAGTGAAACCAGCGGGGAACATGAGCCCTTGATCGAAAAAGGTCACTGTGTTCTCCAAAATGTTGGCAGATTCCTTGTGCCCTCTGCTGGACCAGAGGACTAACAGCAAACAACAGCTGACAACTCTAAATCAGAACCTCGCAACTCAGCAGCTCCAACTGACTGAGACTTTAAAAATAACAGAGCAAATGGCTGAGAAGGTGAAGGAAATGGACGCCAACACTAAAAAAAGTCAAGAAAAAGGTGCAAAAGCTGGAAAAAAACAAGCTTTGGAAGAATCACAACTTTTACAGCTGCAAATGGAGAAAGCAAATTTGGTCCTCCAGTTTCAAGGGGTCCCAGAATTAAAAGGCGAGAATCTAAAGCAACTCTTGAGTGAAGCATTAGCCCCAGTTACAGATTTGAAAGCAGAATATCTTGCAAGCGAGATGGATGTGGTCTACAAGTCCTATTCCGTGTACATCAAGAAGAATCTGCCTGGGGAAATAGTGGTCAAAGAGGCATGTGGGATTCTATCCTGAAAGCAACTACAGGAACACCCTTGAAAATCGGGGACAACATCATCAGGATTCTAAAAGACATCCCATTTGAAATAAGGCAAAAGAGAAAAAAATATAAAGACTTAATCCTTTTCCTACAAACAAACAACATTGCCTACAGATGGTTAATTCCAGAATGTTTCATTTTCAAAATACACAATAAAAAATAAAAGATTGACTCTGTCCCTAAAGCACGTGAGTTCCTGAGATTGCAGCTGGGCGAGACAGCCGAGGTCAAGAAGAAAGAAGATGACAGCAAATCCAGTGGCGAATTGGACTCGGTGTCTTCCAACGAGGACTCTGTTTGCGATAAGGGGGCGGCTGCCCCCAAATGTGCATATAAATTGAGGATTAGAAAAGACAAGACAAAATGAAGGCTGAAGGACTCTGAATTGTGCCTTAAAACTTTAGTTTTATTATGGGATGCTCTGGGGGTTCTCTTAAACAGTTAAATCAATGGATAAAAAGATAAATAATTTAGCATAACCGACTATGTTCAAAGTAATACTAGCAATTTAACATTTATATAAGCTGTTGTTATGATATCCTATTCTTGGGGTTTTAGTTATTAGAGGTTTTCTTTCCTTTCTCCCTAGATGTAGTTACCCCTTCCCAATTTTTTATTGTAGTTTGTAGTCTATTAAAAAATGCAATAAAAAATCCCTCCGGGGGGCAAAAAAAAAGCTATACAGGACAGGGCTGCAGTGAGGACAGGAGCTGAGAGACATTACCTCTCTCTTGTTCCTGTGTAAAATCTCATAGAATCCAAATCACTATTATTAAATGCCTTCCACCACCATACCAGAACATCCAGGTTTGCTTATCTCACCCTTACTCCATGGAGCCCTCCGCAATACACATAGTTCTCTCTTCCTCCATTTTTTCATCAAAACAATCCTGTATGGTAGGTGCTGACAGAGAATGACTGGCAGAGGGGGGAATTTGAACCTGGGTCTCCTCAGTCATAGGCCAACCACTCTAGTCTACTTTAAAACCCAGAACTTATAATTTAACATACACCAAGAACACAATGATGCAGTCCAAGAAATAAAAAGCAACACATAATTTGTAATTGATATTTGCCTTAAATAACACAGATAGGCTTTTATAGTTTTGCTAGTTACAGAAGATCTGTAGTCTGAAGAACTATAATTCGCTCTCTACCTTGTTGGCAAAAGGTGCTGTATGGAAAGCTCCAAACAATAGCCTCGGCTACATTCTTACAGGCAAACTGGGCTGTGAACTTACCTGAAGGTACAACGTGATTTGGGAAACAGGAACAATGTTTCAGCACAAATTCATGTTTTCCTAGCAGGGCAATACACATCTGAGTTTATTTGCTAGAGTCTGGAAACAGCAGGCAGGACACACAGTGGGTATGTGACATCCATCTTAGTAATGGAAGCATGCTGGCTAATGTTTGGGTTTATGCAACCATCTACTTATTTTCCCCATTCAATGTCCTGGCCCCACTGCTGGACCTCCTGATGGCACCTGGTATTTTTGGCCACTGTGTGACAGAGTGTTGGACTGGATGGGCCTTTGGCCTTATTCAACATTGGCTTCTCTTGTGTTCTATTGATAGTAAATAAGTAAAATGAACTTTCAGGCCTTACCTTCTGTTTCACAGCCCAGCAATTCCATACGAAGTGTAGGTCTGTTATAGCACGCAGTTGGATATACCCTAATATACCTAGCAATTATAGGAGGATCAATGTGATTTTCTTTTATTCCAGTGCCATCAGAGTTACCTTCAAAAAACTAAAGGAAAAATGCCTGTAAATAATTATACAATATTTGTTCATTTTATTGTCGGCTTCCAAATCATTGGCTGCAAGTTGCCTTTTGGAACACCCATGCCTACAGGCTCCACCACCCCACCCCACCCGCATGAGCAATGAAAAGAGAGAATCATGGTTATAGCAATATAAAAAATGAAAATAATTTGTAAATGTATTTTTTAAAATTAAAAAAATAATAAATTATATTTACATACATTTGTCAGTATTCCAATATGTGTTGTGGATTATTAATCAAATAATACATAAACTTATAATGATTACTTAAAGTCTATAATACCATCAGAAAAAGATGGTATTATACCTTTCAAACACAAACTACAAAATATAGTAACACAGCTTCTTCATAAAAGTATGTGTCCAAAATCACAGTTGATGTTATATGCAATACTAACAGTTCCTTACAAAGTTCAACTAGGTGGAACATCTCCCACAAGTTTCCAAAGTTCCAGCTCTAGATTCTCCGTGTTCCAGCTGACGAGGAGGCCAGCTTACAAGCTCATTTCAAACATTCCTCTTTTTCAAGGTTACTCCCCTGGAATTGTGAATCTTGGAAGGCTTTTCCAGCCATTTATTGAGGGTGAGAATAACTTACAATGGTTCCAATGTAAGACTGTAACTCCATTGAAGAAGCTGTTAGATATTGTGGAGCCATTCCGACTTTGAAAAAGAGCAACATTTGAAATGAGCTTGTAAACCGGCCTCCTCATCAGCCGGAACTTGGAGAATCTAGGGCTAGAACTGTGGAAATTTGTGGGAGGCATTCCACCTATCTGCACAAGGCAGTGGCAATCTAAATACACATGCAAGATGAACATCTGTATCCCCATTGGATATATGTGTAGATCATTATAACAGAATCAAGACAAATATTTTAGCATTATATTTATATTACATGGCTGGCTATATACAAGATGCTGCCTTATACTGAATTAGACCATTGGTCCATCGAGGTCAGCACTGTGTACCTGATCGTTTTAACTGGAGATGCTGGAGACTGAACCTGGGGCTTTCTGCATGCCAAGCACATGAACTAACACTGAGCCATGACCCCCTCCTCCACAATGACAATGAGAACCCTTAGCTAGGTGAGGATTAGAATTTATGTTACCCATTTCTGTAATACCATAGACCAGTAATATGTACTCAGTGGCTTGGGAGCCACATGTGGTTCTTTGATATGCCACCTGTGGCTCTTCTGAGCACTGTTCCCTAAAGTGGCATGGCACCTGCTCCTGTTTCAGTAAAATTGGGCAAGGCCCTTGCCTAGTGGGGCTTGTAGTTATAGGTGGTTCCTGCCTTGAATACCTACAATACCCAGGTGCCAGAACTCTCAAGAGGGAAATGAAAACTTATGAATTTTTAAACATTTTAAAAAGAATTTTGTCAAAGAGGTTCCAGAACTCTGTTCCAGCGCATTCTGGGAAATTAGACAGGAAAATTACCTATTTGCATGGACTTAGTTTGCAGGTTAAATCCACAGTTTAAAAGAGCTGGGATGGGTCTGTGAGGAACTAGAGATCCATGTGTGTGCAACAAGGATGGTAGACATATGAGAAGCAACCCTATGTTGTAGGTCCTACTCCCTATTTTGGCAGGCAGAAGTTTCTTTCTCTTGCATGATTGCTTAGGTTGCTCATAGCTAACTGGAGCCTGGAGAACAGGAAGCGTTGCCTGCAGACACTACAGTCTTCAGGCTGCCACCTGCTGGATGTTCTCCCACTTAGGGTGGCACTCCTGGCATCAGCCAGAGTTTGGGCCTTTTCCATCGTGGCTCCCATTCTGTGGAGTGGGTTCCTTAAAGACATGAGGAGAGCCCCATCAGTGGATATCTTCAGAAGGTGCTACAAGACTTGTCTGTTTGCCAGGGCTTCTGATGGACCATGAACGGGAGACATCTGTTAGGTGGGAGAGGGAGGTATTTGGGGGTTATTTTATTTTGGATTAAATATGAACCAAGAGTAAATATAGGGTATACATGTTTTTAATAAGTACATTTCCTTCCCTAGAAACATTGTTTTAGAAAAGCAACAATTTAAGCTGATTCCTGTAGCTAATAGCCAAGGGCTGGCCCTAATGCAGATAGACAAAACTGCATAATGGGACCAGCCACAGCAATGATTTCAAGTTCTGAATACCTGGGCCAATCCCCAGGCTTGCAAATACGACCTGACCTTTAAAAAAAAAAAAGGCCCAATGAAGGGAGTGATAGTGATCTGTGCACATCCAAACATCATGTCTCAAAAAGCCAGAGTCCAGGAACATTTTGCAACCCCAAGTGGCATACAAGCACTGGGTTGAATCCAACCATCCTCCAGGTGGCTTTCCTCCAGCTTAAGTGGTTCTTGCTCCAATGGAAGAGCCACTTGATTTGAAGGCTCATTAGATTGGAGGAAGGCTTCAACCCTGAGCCAAAAAGGAAGTGGGGTATAAATATTTTAATTAATAAACAACATTTGCTCAGTGGAGTGATGCAGCTGCCAGCAGGAGGAGGTGAGGAGGGGGAAATGGAGATGGGGGGGGAAGAAGGCCAATTGGCAGCACTGATGGCCAGTGGGGACATGGGGAAAAGGAGAGCTGGAGATGGCAGGAGAGGAGGAAGTAAAGGGGCGTTGATGTGGGGGAAGGAAAGGGGAATAGGGAAGCTGATAGCAAGAGGGGGAGGGAAATAGGATGAATATGTGCTTCAAATCCAATGAGCATACAGACCTTCTGTGCCCCTGTACTGTTTCCTCTGAAGGCAATCCACCTTCTCCCATTTTTGCTGTACGCGATAAAATATTTCTCTGTATACAAGTGTTTTGTTAACTGCTTGGCTCCCTGGGTCTGAATCCCTGTAATTAGAACTTCCCTCTGTAGGTCCACCTGTACAACAACAAAATAATAGGTCCATATTATTCCAGTTCAATTCTCTCATGCCCATGTATCCTTCAGAAACTGTTTTCACTTGATACGTGCTGATCTGTGTCTATTTATGCACAAGTCCTGCCATTCACATGTAAAGTGGAGTCAGGGTGTCTAATGGTTTTTCGGGGGGGGGGGTTGTACTGAAAATGGAATGGACGCATGAGGGGAGCTAAGCCTCATCCTTGCTTTACTACCTTGTTGCACTTAATTGCTTGAAGCAGTTTTCTGACAATCCAGCTCACTTGGAGCCAAAGTAGGGGGGGAATCTTCCAAACACTGGAGCACAGGTGAAGGAGGGCTCTTCTCCTCCCTACATAGCTCTCTAAAAACCAGATATTTCCCTTTTAACATGTCATGTGAATGGGCAGAGATGTGAATAAATAGATGTAGGTTCCACCCCGTCAGTTTTGCCCTAGGAGCCGAATGACACCGTAGTCAATATCTCTGTTAGAATTATCCATGATTAAAGTTATCAAACCATTTATTAAGAATAGCACACCACTTATGCAAAATCAGTCTTTGCTTCATCAAAGCGTTGCTGGTTCCTTATCCATTCTTGTCCAAAGGAGCACAAGTCAGCAGATACACAGGATACTACCTCCTGGTCATACCTAAAAAACCAATTATTTGGATCACAGTTATGGGGTATTAAAAGATGAAGAAAGCCCTCCATAATCCCTGGCAGACTGAAAAACAATTCTTTGGATCACAGTCATGGGGTATTGAAAGATGGGGAAAGCCTCCATAATCACTATGCAGACTGAATCTCTTTTTATCTAACACAGTGCAAAATCTTAGAGCTGGAATGGATCACAGGGCATCTCTTGGTCAGTGCTGTACCTCGTGCCCACATTCCACACAGCTTGTGACATCCCACACCAAAGACCATCTGTCTTGTACTGTGGCCTACCAGTTGCTCTACCACCCTTCTACCCTGCTGTTCAGTCATAAGCAGGCAGCAAGCACAGGAGTTTATTGAGGAGCCGATGGCTGATGGGCTTTGTACACTTCAGTTGGTCAGATCTTGTGTAGGCCTACCCGACTCAAACCATCCACAGCCATCAGCATCCCTCAGCATTCCAAACCGCCATCACAGCTCCACTCCACGGAGCTTGCACAGTCCCATGAGCTATAAACGACACCACTGCTAGAAGCCCAGAAGAGGCAATGCTCCACATGGCCCATGCAGATATAACCTTTAGCTATTCCAGCTGATTCTGTCCTTCAAACATTACTGGAGCACCATGTGGATGCAGCCATGTAGCAGGCAAGGTGGGATATAAGTCAAAACGAATAAATAAATAAATAAAATGTATTAATGAGTAGTTGCTCTTAACCGCACCTGTTACAGGTGGAATTAATCTGTCATGAACATGGATAACCACACTGACGAAGGGAGCTTTGACCCTCAAAAGCTTATACCCCAAAAATCTTGTCAGTCTCTGTGGTGCTACTGGACTCAAATCTAGTTGCTGTACTGTAGACCAAGAGGGCCACCCTCTGAAACTATCTTGTTGAGACCTGGGAGATACAAGGTTCAAGTCTGCACTCTCCTATGGAAGCTCATTGGGTATTGATGCCAAACTTAGTGCGGACACCCAATCGGCATAGCCCGCTGCAGCCCAGAACTCCTGAGCTCACGTGATCTGCCATCCTCAGCCTCCCCGGCAGCAGGGATTACAAGCACATGCATCAGTATCCTTGGATCAGTCACTCTCTCTCATCCTACTCTACCTCACAGGGTTGTTGTGAGGAAAAGCTGGAGGTGGGGGAAATTATGTGTGCCACCCTGAACTCCTTGAGGGAGGAGGAAGATATAAAATTCACAAAATAAATACTCCATCCATCCATCCATCCATCCCAACTAAAAATGCTTCAATAAGGTTGCATACATAAGGACCAATCACGGATGTTCCCGCTCAGGGAGCTTGCTGACAAGTGATTGGTTGGTTCTTCCTGGGCTAGCAATGCGATTGGATGGATTTGGATCCTAGCCCAGGATGAAGCTTTACATGACAATTCAATTATGTTGTTCACATACAGTTATGCATTCAATGGCAGCTATTGAATACATTACACTATGATACCTTATGAAAATGTGCCTTATTATGTATGACCCCAGGTGAATCCAGTGGAAACTGCTTAGATCAATACTGCAGAAAATCTAGAATATCCTGCAATGCAAACACAGCCCAAATCATACCTGGATCCAGGAACCATTTTCTTTCCTCTCGGTGCTCCACGCATTGTATTTCCCATTATTGTGTAATCTTGCCAATTTGGGTTCCCAGTAAGCTGGGTAGGAGGAAAAGAAGGGAGGGTGCATGTAAGAATAAAAGGAACACTGAGATCTCTCTGCATGCCTGCTTCTGTTTTAGAGGAAATCAAAGCCTTGACATTGATTGATTGGTTTTTCATGAGAAAATAATAGACATTCTAAGAGACAATCTCTTGTAAATCCATGGCTAGAGTAAAAGAAATGTTCTTGAGTGCAATCTAGGACATGTTCACATACATAGCCTGTTGAATTTCTTATGCCAATGTATGCCTGCTAATTAATGTATGTCATATTTTTGTTTGTTTTTGTTTTGTTAGTTCTGGAATTACAGAAGACAACTTGTTCCAACCATAGTGAAAACTTGGAAGTTAAAATATTAAGCCACACTGAATAAAGTAGTGGCATGTGGTATCATGGACATCTATTTATTTAAACTATTTATTTATTTCTTCTCCATTTAAAAAGTTTTAGGTGGCTCACAACTTCAAAACCAAAGCTAAAGTAATGCTAAAAATAACAACATCAGATTAAAAATGACATTCAGCGCAATTTAACAGCAGCAGCAAACACCATGAGAGCAGTAACAATCAGAAGAACGATAGAAACCACAACAGAAGCAAAGGCACGGGTCTATAAAAACACAAACGCCAGCCAAAGGCTTGACCAAACATACATATCACCTAACACTTAACACAGCTGGGGCCAAGCATATTGTTGTGGCAAGGGCATTCCACTAGAGATTATACTGTGTCTTCAGTTGCCACTCACCTCAGAAGGGAGGGTGGCATCTGAAGACCCCAATACCCATGGGGAAGGGAGAACCCACGTTCCTGAAAGGGTGGACTAAAAAGGCAGAGCAGGTGGGCATATTCAGCATCCTATCAGACATTCCATAGCTGTGACATTCAACTTACGTTTGTGATCAGAAGCACTTATTTGTGAATCTTGTATAATGCCACTTCCCAGACCCAAGGGTAATTTGCATTCTGTAGAGAAGGATCACAGACATTTTACTAGCCATATCTCCAGGGCTAAGAAATCTTGCTCCTTGTTTTATGAAATAAAGGGAGGGGTATCTCAAATACTCTTTCTGAATACAAAAATCCACTGGGAACCTTACCTCTGCAGTCCCTATGGGAAGATATGTACACAAAACACATTTGGAACATTAACTGAACCTATTTTGTTTTACTTTATTTATATCCTGTTTTTCTCTCCAATGAGGATCGCAAGTGGCTTACATTGTTCTCATCTCCCCTTTTTAATCTTCACAATAACCCTGTGAGGGAGGTTCAGCTAAGATTGCGTGACTTGCCTAAGGGCACCCAGCAAGCTTCCATGGCAGAGAGGGGATTAGAACCGGTGTCCCTCAGATCCTAGTCTAACACAATAACCATGACACTATGCTGGCTATCAGGCACAGTGCACTGGAAAGGCTCTTGGGCATGGTGCAAGAAACAGCATATGAGGCTGTAGTGGAAACAGGGAATATGAGCTCTCATATGAGCTCTAGCTCCATTCATACAAGAGTTTGTGCAAATGTATTATATAGAAAAAGCAATTATGCTTGGATTGGTTAGCGACAAAAGGAAACCAGGCCACCAAAGATCACAGTGGCTAGAGACCATAAAAGTTGACACCAGCCTGAGCATGGGACGACTCAAAGAAATAGTACAAGATCAGAAAATGTGGAGACAGCTGGCCCATAGAATTGCCAAGATTCAGGCACAACTGAATCTGTGCCTCTGTCCAAGATTCAGGCACAACCCCCTTTAGCATATAAGACTCTGTCTTAGCAGGGCTCTTTTTGTAGCAGGAACTCCTTTGCATATTAGGCAACACGCCCCTAATGTAGCCAATCCTCCAAGAGCTTACAGAGCTCTTCTTACAGGGGCTACTGTAAGCTCTTGGAGGATTGGCTACACTAGGGGTGTGTCGCCTAATATGCAAAGGAGTTCCTGCTAGGAAAAGAGCCCTGAAAATCACATTTTAGTTTCTTAAAATGTGCACACTTTGAAAAGAAAGATCTGAAAGAATGCCGCCATCGCCTATCACCTGTATTTGCTTGAAACTGTGATGGTTTTACCTGTTTTATCTGTTTTAAAATATTTTATGTTTTACTATATTTGTATACATGCCTGTAAGCCGCCCAGAGCCTGCCTCAGTGGGGAGGGCGGGATACAAATCAAACAAATAAATAATAAATACAAGAGAGAGCTGGCCCAAAGAATCATCAAGAGTCGGACACAACTGAATGGCTAACAACAACAATTTTATAGAAAATGTCTTTAAAATGTTGGGAATAAACACTTTATATTCTATATAACTTGTAATGTATAAATAACGTTTGATATGTATAATTTGTTATATAATCCTGCTTTCCCCTCTGTATCCCTTTTATATCATCTTGTTTTCTAAAATAAAAACATATTTTAAAAAAGAGTTTGTGGAAAGGTGATTCACTCTCTAGCTACAGCCTCACCCAATTCCATTTTGTCTGAAGTATCCTCCAACCTTTAAGGGTGGCTTTTTGGGCAGCACAGGAGAGATCCAAAGAGAAGGGAGTATGACAAATAAGCTCTCCATAAACACTGTTCAGCTTACCTCATAGCATAATTTTTGCAGCATTTAATGCTACTATAAATACTCTGAGTGTGTCTGTTTGTTTCATAATATTGTTGCTTTGATTATGTGACCATTGATATATACTAAAACTGGTCTATTTTTAACATGCTTCCCAGACATTTTATTTAATGCATAATTTATATAAAGTGAGTTGAAATTTATTTTCTCATATCTGTTGACATTTGTAACATACAGCCATTAACTTTGGAGTTAAAGCAGAACTTCTTTTGTGGTAGTCCTCACTGGTACTGAATTTTCTCATGGGAGAGTGGTGCTCTCCCAAGTCCTAAGGGGGCAATTGGTGGAAATCATTGCAACCTAGTATATGAGCACTGGCAACCCCCCTCCCCCACAAACACTAGGTCATAGTATGTAGCAGTTCCCTGGGGCAGCACTACAGGTTCTTGTTCCCTTGGGATGAAAGAGTATTGAAGAGCTCCGGGGCTGGATCCAGTTGTTAGCCTGATTGCTCTATTATCAATATTAGGGAACATGAGATATTATAAAATCGCAATAGGCAATAAGGGAACAAACACCTTTATATACAGGGGTCCCGCTTCTTCCAGAAGCACCAGAAATAGACACGGAGGCTGGTTTTAATATAAAATTATTCCTTTACTGTAGATTCGTCACAAGCAAACAATACACAAGCACACAAACAGTAATTAAACATTCACGCACGCAATACAGACTTAAGGAAGCAAAGGTGATTGATAGCTAATGGATGGGTTATGGGGTGATACTACCTATCCAGATGTGCAGAGGTCCATGAAGAAAGGGTGGTGACCAAAAACCCAGAGGGTTCCAGGGGTGGACTGCGAGTTGGCATCATGGCAGAAAACACACGGTCTGAGCCTGAGGCCATGTGTTCGCTGGGATATAGGCATTGGAAAACAATGTAGACCAATGGGCGGCCCTGGGGGCTGGTCTCAGGTGAGAACAATAGATTTTCTGGACCAATGATGAGTCCCAGGGGTGTGTGGCATCAGGATGGGCAAGGCCTAGATGTGACCAATGAGCTTCCAGAGAGGCAGGGTCTGGATTTAACAATAGAAGCCAGATGTTGGATGACTGTACTGGGGGTATCCATTGTGGAACAATAGAGTGGTCTGGCGTTTCCCCTAGTGCCAGACAAAGGAGTGATATTTCTTAATGTGTGGCAGGGTGAACCTGAATGGCTGACCATTCACTAGACATGAAGAGTTAATGTTGACCTTGATAGGTCTGGCATAGGTGTAAGAATGCAGATATCTTAGACAAATATATGGAGACAGGGATGAGAGGATTATTCCAAAGATACTTCCTGACATGGGTGAAACAGGAGAGGGGTGTGGAAACATGCAACACACTTCATTCACGACAATAGCACAGACCAGAGGCTTTTTGTCTCTGCCTGTCTGAACATTTGACAGTCAAAAGACTAGCCATTTGGTCAGCAGAAGATGCCTAAGGCAAGCTGACAGGAGAGAAGAGTGGGGGGGGGGTTTGCTTGCATGGGGAGTGCTTGGCCGTACAGCCAGCCTGAAGAACTCTTTGGCCTGAGTTTTCTCAGCCAAGATGTGGTTCTCCTAGCCTCCCAGCAAAAAGCCACTGTTTAAACCAAGCCTGGCGTCATAGGGCACTGCTTGTGGAGGTTCAGAGGTTGTTTTGGGGTGTCTCTCTCTCAGGAAAGACCACCCCAGGTTCAGTGCTGAGAATGCTGGCAACACAGTACAACATTTCCACTTGCACTAGTGCTCTTGGACTAAGTTGAACTTAATGTATCCACATTTGTACAAGATGCTGTACAACCAGTTCCCAAGCACTATAATATATAGGAGTGAATGTGCTAGGTGCTTCCACGAGGTCTTGCACGAGTAGCACGGCACTGCTTATGTTTCTGCTTGTGCATCGTTGGATCCAAGCCGTGGTGTTTTTTGCAGTGTTTGCTTATTCACATACGTAGAGTTCATCAGAAAAAAGCACATGCCCAAAGCCAGGTAGCTAACTGCTACAGCTCCCCAAGGAGAACAAGTGCAAGCCGAAGTATTTTGCTTGTGGCCAACTCACCGTTCACTCCCATTCTCTCTGTGCCTCTGTCCAAATCCATACATCAAGAATTTCTTCTAGCTATCTGCCTTTTCTCCCTCCAACTGTGTTGGGTATGGCACCATCAAGGCTGGCACCATCAAGAAAGATTCAGCCCTCTGCTACCCTGGATCAGCCATCAAGTTTGCTGGGCCAAGCCACAGGCCTTTTCAAGCAGACCACGCAGCCAAACTTGTTAGAATACGGATCTCCGTGAATTCTAACAGAAATCTCTATATAAGTACTTTAGTTTAAAGGGCAGATTGTGGCTTGGATCCTGCCTAGAATTTCTACAAGTTTAGAGGAGGCAATCCCCCCCCCCCGTGAAGCTGCCCCCAATGCAGCTCCCAGGGGACACAAATTCCCAAGAATACTTTGTGGGGAAATTGGAGGTCTCCCACAGTAGTAGGGAATCAGTGAAATCAGGAGTAGGGATCAGCCCTTGAGTCCATGGAAATTCTAGGCAGGATCCAAGTCAATGTTTTACTCTATATCATTAGCTGCCATTGTTTTCTGATAACAAAGCAGATACATGCCATTACATCAATGTGACCTCACTGCACTCAGCTTTAGCTTTTTATTGTCCGTCACTTGCAAAGCATGTAGCACACGACATGCTTTAATAAGATGTTCCCAAGAGACATAGGAAGGAGGCCTACATCAGAGGCTGCCATGCATTTGAAGCAATGAGTAGGTTGGCCCTGCAATTGTGACATTCCTACATTTTGCTGTATGCAAACAGAGCCTCAGTTTTTTTGAAGCACTCCTCTTCATCGAGCAGCTTCTTAATTTCCACAGCTGAATATCTACTCTCATGGAGACCTGTTAACACACACTCATCCTGCCTTGCCCTCTGCCACCTCATTTATTCTGGATGCATAATTGGGGGAGTTGCAGAAGTGGGAAGAACATAACCATGAGGTAGCTCAGTGCTTCCCAACTGTGCAATGACATTTATGGATTAAGCTCTGTTACCTTTATCGATAACAAGAAAAGCAGTCTGCATTCCAGCTTGCTGATATTCACCAACCTCCGTGTCCAAAAGCCACACACCAGCTTTTGATGGCTTCATTTGAACAGTGCGGAATGAACCTTGAAAAGAGAGAGAAAGTATTTGAGTGTAGGGTTGGAGGACTCGTGACATGAACACCTTGCAGAAGCCCAGCAGGCATGGGTCTGGTTAGTGCCTACAAAAGAAACACACACCCACAGCCTGGGAATCTGAGGAATGTGGTCTTGAACTTCATGATGGAGGAAAATCAGGGTATAAATTATTATTATTATTATGTAGTAACACCATCAGTACACATAGAGTTTGAAGAACTTCATAAGCAAAAAATAGGCAAGCCCCTGTCTACTAACAGCTTACAATCTATAACAGGCAATATTGAAGGCAATGTTGAGGACATGATAGGGGAGAAGGGAGAGAGAGAGAAGTAGGGTGTTTCACTCTTTTGATATTCGCTAGCATGTGAATATTACAGAAACAGGGACTTTATCCCAGATCAACAAAGTTACATAATGCTGGTCATGTTGTCTCAGATGAGCACAGCCTTTCAACAAAAGATAATTGTCATTCTCCTACTGCAGAGATGAAGTTGAAAACAGAAAAGAGGCTGCGACCTAGATAGCCCAGGTAAGCATGACCTTGTCAGATCTTGGAAGCTAAGCAGGGCCGACTCTGGAAAGTACTTGGATGGGAGACCTCCAAAGAATACTGGGGCCAGGATGCAGAGGCAGGCAATAGCAAGCCACCTCTCTGAAAATGTCCAAGGCACACTAGTGGTAGCCAGAAGTCAACCATGACTTCCAGGCAAGCACTCACACACACACACACCTCCCAAAAAAACTCAATTTGAAAAAAAATGGAAAAGAGAAAATGGATTGCCATTGCAACAGAGAAGGCTAGTGAATGAATTGGAAGCAAAACCCACTGTTGTTGCAATAAGCCAAGACAGCTCACACTGATTCATATAGTTAGAACTGACTGGATTCATTCTAGCATTCTACAGAACAGCCCAGTTACTTCAATACATGGATTGAATGATGTTTACCAGGAAGGAGTGGGTAGACGCCAAGCTGATGATCTTCCATTCCCTGTTCTGTGAATGTCTGACCATGAAAATGAACCACATGAATATCTTTCGGCCCACCAGTGTTCAGCAGATGCCAATGAACCATCTCATCCTGATACATCCGCAATCCTGGCAATTGGTACTGGATCCCATTAATAGCTGAAAGGAAAACATTTTAGCAATGATAAAAGAAATTGCAAACAAATATAGTATATCCTATGGCAATCAAGGGAGCTGCGGTGGCTCAAGTGGTTAAGACGCTGAACTGCAGGCTGTGGAAGATCGGTAGTTCAGCAGTTTGAGACCCAAGTGCGCCGCATGATGGAGTGAGCTCCCATCTCTAGTTCCAGCTCCTGCCAACCTAGCAGTTCGAAAGCAAGAAATTGCAAGTAGATAAATAGGTACCACTTCAGTGGGAAGGTAACAGCGTTTCGTGCGCCTTGGTGTTTAGTCATGCTGGCCACATGACCACGGAAACGTCTTTGGACAGCGCTGGTGCTTCGGCTTTGAAACGGAGATGAGCACCGCAACCCTAGAGTCGGATTCGACTGGCTTTCGAGCAAGGGAACCTTTACCTTTATGGCAATCAAATATCTTGATACACATCGTATCACTGCAATTGTCTGTAACCACTGAATGTTTCAAAGCATTGGTCTTGCAATACTTATGCAACTCAGTGCCTTAATTAAAATATTATCTTCATAGCAGAAAGCATTGTAAATATATACTGGAAATCTCAAATTGTATATGTGGGTGTGGATCATCAAAGTGAGCACAATCCTGCCAGCAATAAGAACAACTCCTTCCACTCCTTCCATATCCAATGTGAAAATGGGAACTTAATAAATGAACGACCGTTCTCCTGAAATAGAAAGGAGTGTACGTGTGCTCAACTTCAGCAGAATTGTGCCCATCTTTGGGTTACGAAGGCTGCAGCCCTCCTCGTAAAGGGAGAGAAAGGATTATGACGGCTGGGTGAAGTGGATTGTAAACAGTGCATTGCAAAGCAAGTTCATACTGTTGTTTGTTTTAATAAAGAGTGTATTGTATTAGTGAATACAGACATGCTTAAAAGTCTAACAGTGACCAAGTCTAAGAAATGACCAAACCAGTTTGGTGCTGGTGCAAGATACGAGTTAACAGGGAGACTGGTTATGATGACACAATAGAGAAAACAGGGATCAGTGTTTGTAAAACAGAAGTTATTTGAAGTATAAGTGATGGCACATAAAAATCACACGCAGATGACTCATGTACACAAATTATTAACATATAGCAATCTCCCTGTCTCTTTTCTGTTGTTAAAGACTGAGTTATTCTTTGCCACCATTATAAAAGACAAAGGTAAGCATCTATACCAGGATATGTGTGGCATCTTTCAGCATCAGCAGTTCTGTCTGCACACGTCTTCTTGGCCTGTTTATTGAAGTACCAGCTCTTCTTTTCATCAAAGACCATAAACAGGAGGACAAATTCCCGCATATCTATTGGCTTGTTATACTTGTCAAGCATTCCCTTTTGACAGATCAAAATTGGCCCAATCAAGCCAGAGTGTATATCTTTTCCCTGCAAGACCAAAACGAAATATGACTGATAAGAAAGCGGTTCTGCAAATCAGTTTCTAATGGAGACTAATTGCTGGTTTCAAAAGTGGTTTATTTTAAAAACATAATTTTGATTCATTTTGGTGCAAAGATTCATGAACAGAGTTAATGGAAGTTATAACATGGTAATTCTTTTCTGTTTCACGCATACACACGAGACTCTCAAATGCAAGATACATCTGCACAGCAAACTGCATGTAAAATAAATTCAGGTGGGGTAGCCGTGTTGGTCTGAAGCAGCAGAACAAAGCTTCAGTCCAGTGGCACCCTGAAGACCAATGAAGTTTTATTCAAGGTATGCCCCCGAAAGTTCATACTTTTAATAAAATTTTGTTGGTCTTAAAAGTTCCACTGGACTCAAACTTTGCATCTAAAATAAGAGATGGAAATACTTTATTAAGATTGAAAAAAAAGCATTTACAGTCTAATTCAAAGCAATCTGCAGGAGTGTTACTTTTTAAAATAGATTGTCTTACTGGGTTTACAGCAGAGTAGTAGGCCCAGGACCTACAAACTTTCCCATCTTGTGTAGGTCCTGACCGTTTGGTCGCATGCCAGACATAGGTATAGGTGCCATTTGGCTGGATTGCATCATCATTCTTGAACCATTCTGGAGACTGATCATCATAGCTTCTGCCTTCAGACGATTTCTCATAGGAAAGTCCATGAGCATGAAGAGAATATGCCCTGGAGGCCAGATTTTTAAAATGAACCTAAAGAGTTGAAGAGACAGTGATTACCGGTGATGAAGAAGCACGCCTCCCAAAACAGCTTTTAAAAACATTAAGCTGTCGCTGCCCTGGGTACAGGTTTTGTAGCCTGAGCCTGGAACAGTTCAAGTCTAGGCGGTGGTTTCTGCAGAAGAGTCCTTTGTCATATGGAATGTCCACACACTGCTTTGCAACGACTGAAGAAGCATTTGTTCACACGTGCCTTCCTGTTTTCATCAGGGCCACCAATGCAGCTAACAATTTTAAAAACATTCATAATAAAATCACATATTAAAAACCAACAACACACACACACACATCATTAAAACAATTAAAATCAAAGCTAAAACACATACAAAAACATAAAATATAAATCCTGAAATCCTGTTGTGGGATGTGCACAGCTAGCTGGCTGAACAGATAAAACTGAGCATAGGTCATGTCCTCTCAGACAGTTGCTGCTCCCAGTAAAATGATAAATGTTAGTTCCTACTTGTCTTCTGACAGTGCTCAAGTTGCTTAAGATCCTATTAATTTTTCTAATAATTTTTTGTACTTTCCTATTAATTAGTGAGATCTCCCTTACTCTTAAATCTTATGGTAGTACCATAATCCTGTATTGGTGACAGTGGAAATTTCATTCATCTCCATTTGACCGATTCAAGAGATGGGTCACCACGACAGAAGGAAACTTGCTTCTTCCCCAGTGTTCAGAGATAGGTCTCTTCAATTACAGATTAGCTGAGCCTCCCCAATAGGTGTTCCTGTTTCTGTTCTCTTTTTTCTTCTTTCCTGGCTTCCTGTACTGTGCAACGCTCTTCTGAGTAATCTGCACAACTAGAGGATCATACAGTATTCTGCTGGATGGATCAGAGGCACACCCTTCTGCTGAGGAAAAGGATTTCTGTTCAAGGAACCACAGTTTTACACTGCAGAATTGTGTAAGACAACTTAAACTAGATTTCAGTATGTATTTCCACTTGCACAATATCTTGTACTTTGCAAAGCAAAAGAACTGCTATAGCACTTCACAAATTCTTGTATTTGCAGAATTTGTAGCAACTAGATCCCTTCCATCCACAGGTTTTTTTGGACCCAACCCACTGAAAACATATTTGTACATAATTTCCAGTTGGATTCAAATTCACAGTTCTATCCTGTTATTGTACCATATATATATAATTCCCATTCTAGAGTTTAACCACAAGATACAAAATGTATCAGCAATGCTTTAGGAATGCTTCATACACAAACTAAAAAGGAAATCCATCCTTCCCAGATGACACATTCAATCCTTTATTAACCTCCCACCTTATTCTAATAGGAAATGGACTTACCAGGATGACATCGTCTACTTCAGCTCTGATGATGGGACCAAGGATGCCAAGGTGATCTTCATATTCCCTTCTAACTACAGGCGTTCTGAAAGTGCTGTCTTGATAACCTCGGAAAACCACCTTTTTGTACACTGTGCTGGCTGAGCCACTTTTCACTGCACTGAGGACATGGAGCATTAAAAAACAACCAAACTGTAAACGAAACAATTATTTTCTTATGGCTAAAGTGAATAGTAAACAATTTCCTGGGAATCTGGTCTGGGAAGTGACAAAGCTACTCCATGATCAAAGAATAAGCAATATGTACCAACGCTAGTATTTAGCGCATGATTCCATTGAATTTACTAGATAGAATTCGGAGAGCTACTTTGTATATGTCAAAGGCCTTGGTTCAGCCCTTTTTCAAGTCTGGGTTGTTTTTTTCCTGAACAACATGCCTCTGTACTATATCACAAACTTTAAAAGACCCTCAAAATGTAGTACATGGTGCTGTTCTTTAACAGATAAAAGCACAGAGCTATGGTGGGCATATAGAAGTAATGGCACCATTCTTTAAATCCTGCCCAATGTCAACATTATACTCAAGAAGAATAAGGGCTAATGCTCCATAAAGACTTTAGCTAAGAAATTTCAAAAGTTTACAAAGATATCCGGCCTTCCACAAATCAAACCTGATTTCCCTCCTTTCCTTTTCACCAAGCAGCCTCTTGTGCCCCTCCCCTGAAATTCCTATTCAAGGTCAGGGGATTCTCCTGAACAAAATATCATGTGATGTGACATGTGGTCCTATAAAAAGAAATGGACAAACTTGCCCCTCAATCTCATGAGCAAGCAGAGCAAGATCTAGGAGTCTATATTCCACTTGCACAAGAATAATGGCAGGCGTTGTGCTCCTTGCATTGAAGGGCTGACAGGCAGAAACATAATAGTAGTCCAGTTACTATTGATGGAAACCATTGCCATTTACACCCTGGGTGTCAAACATAAGGCCCGGGGGCCAGAAACAGCCCATTCAGGGCTCTTATGTGGCCTGTGAGCAACTGGTGCAAGGGAGGGAGTACTGGGGGAGAGTGGGCGGAGCCGCTCCATTGTGGCTTCAGCATGGCAGAACAACCTCATCTGCAGCAGTCAAGCATCATGGGAGCATCTGCCCAGCTGCCTCTCCAGTCTGCCTATGTGGGTTTTCCTCTGCAACCCCCTCCCAGCCCATGGGGCCTTGCAGTGAGGATACAGTAACTCGGAGCTGCAGGCCTTTATACAGTTCCTATCTACAGTACCTGGCATTACGTTTTATGGCACACATGGCCTGCTCTGGCAAAGTGACATTTATGTCAGATGCGGCCCTTGTAACAAATGAGTTTGACACCTCCGCTCTGTGCTATTGAATGAGTATGAGGGCAGTTTGGGCAGGAGGGGCCAGAAAAAGCAGTCACCCACCAGTTAACCAAAAGCCTGGCAGAATAGCTCCGTTTTACAGGCCCTGTGGAACTGTAATAAATCCTGCAGGGCACTGATCTCAGTTGGGAGCATGTTCCATGAGGCTGGGGCTTGGTCAGCAAAGGCCCTGGCCCTAGTCGAGGCCAGGCAGGCATCTTTTGGGCTGGGGACTGCCAGCAGGATGTTGCTCTGCTGCGCATAAAGCTCTACAGGGCACATATGGGGAGAAGCGGTCCCGCAGATATGTTGGTCCCTGGCTGCCCAGGGCTTTAAAGGTTAGCACCAACACCCTGAACCGGATCCGGTACTCAATTGGTAGCCAGTGTAATTGGTGTAGCACTGGCTGAATGTGCACCTGCACAGATGTTGCAGGCAGAAGGCATGCAGCTGCATTCTGCACTAGTCGCACTAGCAATTTTACAGCCGCAGTGCCTAGTTTAAAATTATTTAAGCAGTTTAAGTAGTTGATGGAAACATTAACATAGAGTAAAGTATTAAAATAGAAATAAACTAACGAAACAAACATGAGTATTTGTGTCCCTCAGCCAAGAGGTGCTTCGTCACCTCAAAGTCAGACAACAAAGCTGCTAAGCTTTAATTAAAAAGAAAGAAAAGGGGAGAAAAGTCACCTGTGGAGCCAATTGGACAAAAGGTTGTCTGGGGCTTGTAAGATCAGACCCTTGACAAATGTGTACAAAGCAGCCTTATCCTGAGTCACACCATTGGTCCGTTTAGCTCAGGACTGTGTACTACGTTTCCTAGGGGCAGCTTTCTGGGGTCTCAGGAAGAGCTATGTCTTTCCCAGCACTTGCTGCTTAAGATCCTTCCTGTGTAAATGCTGGAGGACTGAACCTGGACCGTGCTGCATGCAAAGCTTGTGTTCTGCCACTGAGTCATGGTCCTTCCCCTGTGGTATCCTCTTGTGATCGTGGGGCACCCAAAACTGATTAGCACAAATTGATAAGCACTGATCGGCACAAAATTTGATTCATTGTTGTCTGAATGCACATTCTTGGTTTGAAATACCTGGTTTGCACAGTGCTCTAAAATCCCAGATCAATTGCAGCACATCCAAGGTTGATTCCATATTATCAGCTCACTTATTTGACTTATTTCTCCTTCTTACATGGCTCAAAACTTAATAGCATTGAATGTTAATATCACATTAGTGATTACAGTAGTTAAGACAGCAACATGGAATCAGGCAGTGGTAAAAGAGAAAAAACAACAATCAAACCTTTTCCTAAATGCTGCATAGTCCCACACATCTTCTACAGCAGCAATGTAGTATATCCTCTTGTACCCATTATCGAAAGCACGTAGATAGTGCCCAGCTATGTCATCAGGGTTACGCACGGAACTTAAGTTAAGTCGGGAGTCTGTTGTATATGGGTCATCATAGTGTACAGTTTCATATTCGACTGAACCACTGGAACTCTCTTCACTGTCTGAGTATATTGGGTCAAACTCTTCATAGTCCCCATTTTCATTGGGGAGGCCTATCTTGACAAAAGGTTTAACTTGACTTGGTGTCAGAGTATAATTGACTTCATTCAGTAGCATAGTATGGTTGGCTTTATTGAAAGCTTGGGTATCGTTGAGCCCCTTAGATGACTCTGGAGGTTTGAAACCTCTTGGAGTCATTGAGGCACGTAGATGTTCCTTTTTCTTCTTTCGTCGGGCTTTCAAGAAAGTACCAGATGTCTTCATAGTACAGTTTTCATGTTCCTTTTCAATCAGAACTCCATGCTTGATGCCCACTTCCTCTTGGCCAAGGTCAGGCTGGGAATCTCCTTTATACCTCTCTTGCTTTTTTTTACCAGGGAATATGGTATTTTCTGGATCCATTGTGGCATTTCTAGAGCTGTTCTGAAATTTGTCATCAACAGTGTTAGTAAGGTCTATCCCTGTGTCATAATTCTCTTTCTCAGAGACAAAATTCCACTCATAATTTGTCTTTTTAGAGGGACACTTCTGCCTTTTGAGAGGTAAAACTTTCGGTCTTTCTGTTAGTGGCTTTGGAATGACCGTAGGAACTAAGATGCCTAAAATATCACCCAAAGTTGAATTGCTATGTCGCTGGAATTTTGACAATACTAATTCAGAAGCATGGGGTGATTCAAACTCATCACTTTTGGCTGCCTGCTCCACAGCAGAAGTTAAATTAGTTGAAAGGATGGGAAACTCATCTTCATCATAATCATCTGAAATGTAATCAGTTTCTAAATTAAATTGTGAATTATCTAAGGTGGAGGTGTTTTCTGCTCTAGGTATGGCAAGAAAGGCCATACCTGAAGTTGTGTTGCCTAAAGCAGAGAGGTTTCTCTTTTGTTGCACATAAAAGAGCAGAGCACGCATCTGTTTAACAGCAAAAAACATTGCCTCTGATAGACCTTGTTTTACCTTCTCTCTGTCCAAAGTATCTTTTCCATCTGCATTGTCTTCTTCTTCCTTCTTTGAAGAGGGTTGTGAAAATATGGCCATGGTGCTATTCTCTGTGTCAGCTAACAATTCTGCTGGATCTTTGCTCTGTGCTTCCCCATCAGTTCTCAGGGGCTCTGCTCCATTTGTTTGATTATAACTAATTGAGATCACAGTACTATTCTCTCCATCACTACTTTGGCCTTCTTCAGATGATAAGATGCTAACTACTGTAGTGATATCTGAAAACACAGCCTCTTCAGCCAAAGACGAGTAATTTGGATGGAGTGAACTAATGGCGGTGAGGTAAGAAGTGGTACTTTGAGTTTCCAGCATTTCACCACCGTGCAAATTATCACTACTATTTGTAAACACTTGATCTAAGGTTACAGGTAGGTCATAGTTTCTTGTAGAGCTGGTGCCATAAGTGTCTTCCATTGCAAGAGCAGTAAGATTATACTCCTCTTCCTCAGCAGCTGAACTGTTAAAACTTCGAAGTCCCAGCAATGAAGCTAATTCTTCTTGGGAATCCTCTTCCTTCTCATCCTCTCTCTTTCCCCCATAGTCTTCTTCTTGGAATCCATAAAGGGTGGCTAGGTTTTCTTGATAATCATAGTCTTCTGCTATTGTGCCTCTTTCTTTTTTTGCTGTTGTTTCTGTAGCGGCCACGGGAAGTATTTCAGGGGGCACAAAGACACTATAAAAAGCATCGTCTTCTGTGTAATCAGTTTCACATTTGACGTCCCTAAACCTTGTTCTCATGCCATTGCTCATTTCACGGGAGCCCCAGGAGAACAGAAGCCAGGTTCCTGCAAAAGGAGAAGAGCACAGATTGTGTTTTTCTTATACAGATATGGTTCAACTTTGTCTGGTACCAAAACTATGAAGTCTGTGGCTCGTAGGAGTGGTGGCAAGGACTGATACAAAGTCATCCCTCATTATACTGTTGCACAGTCAAGCCTAGCAGAGCTTATGAATCACTATAGGAAAAGTAGAAGCTCTGCCATTAGGGTAGATAAATCCTTATAGAGATAAGCGATGGAAGACAGACTCCTAAGGATCAGAGATGGGAATGGTATAGTTGATAATGGCAACTCCATGCAAAGATACTACAGCATGTGGAAGCCTTCCTTCAAAGGATTTGTGTGGGAGAAAGATGACAGTTCTCATCCTCATCATCATCCCACAGTGCCTTGATCATTCAGCACCAGGGACAGTTCCAGGGTTTGAGGGCCCCCTGCCCACCATCAGCCCCCCCTTCCTGAACACCCACCCACCCACCTAGGTGCCATCCCTCTGCCTGTATGTCCTTCCCCTGTCTGCTTTCAAGCTCTCCCATCACCTGTGCTCACAGTCACCTGCACACCCTTTCCCTGATGGGGCTGAGCAGGGTGAACGCCTGAGACTGCTACCACCATGGCTGCTAGCTGTGCTACAGCTGTGACCACACACATGCACTTCCCTGGCATTAGTGGGCAACACATGGAGCTGGGAGTGTGGGTGACAGAGCACTTGTAAGCTGGTGGGGGAAGAATGTGTGTTCAGGTAGCAGGGGAGGTGTGCAGGCAGAGGGGGCTGGAGGCAGTGGGCCTAGAAGAAGTCCACGGCAGCTCTCCTAATTTAGGATACATTGACACAGGCCCTGTTCATGACTGCTGTCTGGAAGAACCAGAAACCATAGACTCTCCATCTTCCTGGGTGAAGAAAAATCTCTCTCTAAGAGCCAGTTTGGTGTACTGGTTAAGTGCGCAGACTCTAATCTGGGAGAACTGGGTTTGATTCCTCCCTCCTCCACTTGCACCTGCTGGATGACCTTGGGCAAGCAATAGTTCTTCTGGCACAGCTGTTCCTGAAAAAGAGCAGTTTCTGTCGGAGCTCTCTCAGCCCCACCTACCTCACAGGGTGTCGTGGGGAGGGGAAGGGAAAGGATCTTGTAAGCTGCTCTGAGACTCCTTTGGGTAGTGAATGGCGGGGTATAAATCCAATCTCCTCCTCCTCCTCCTCCTCCTCCTCATCTGACAAAAACATCTGGCACTACCTGACCCTGGTTGCTAGTCAGTGCATATCTGGAGTGGGGGCTATCTCCCTCACAACCATCATGGAACTTAGAGAAAGATGACAGGGAAGAGGACATTTCAGAACATCATCTCCCCCCACCGCACCTTTATCTTTTACCAGTTCCTTAAAAAAATCTTATTGCAGTTATTGTGTCTCTGTTTTGCTTATTGTGAAGAGGCCTTGCTATCAGGTGAAAAGGCAGCATATAAATGATTAAGAAATAAATAAATAACAGTGCAGCCTAGATGGCAAGGGAGCCTGCACCTCAGGACATACTGGTGAGGTGTGGATTACAGCGGACATGATTTCACATTCTCATAGCAGGCATTCTGTTGTTAAGCATGGATCACAGTACACAGAACAGCCTGCTGAAGAGGAAACTTCAAAGGTTGCTCCAACTGCACTGAGTCTGTCTGAACCCAGCTAATCATGTTGGCCATTCTTGGCAATCTCTTCTTGAATAGATTCCACTGACTGCACAGGAGCAAAAAGCAGGGAATGCATTCTACCTGATGTTGGTCATTGAAAGGATGCATATGTGCAAAGAAGGAACCAATGGCAAACAAGTCCATTATGTATACAAATCAGCCAGGTTAATGATCTGGATATCCAGGACCCTAGGGGATACTGTGGTTCCTCTGATAAATGAGATCCTTCAGTTCTTGGGCTCGGAAAAAGCAACTTCAGGCTTCAAAAACCAAAGGGTTATGGCGCAAGCTTCTTGGCATGGTGTTATGCTCAAGCAAAATTTCACAAGGAACATTCAGGCAATCCAGTCAAGAGCATGTCTGACATGCAATTGAGCAGATCTGAGCAAGGTATGTTTACCTGAGAAGCATGCTTGCGGCAAAGTTCCCTGCATGTCAACACTGGACTAGATGGCCTGACTCAGCATAAAGGCAGCTTTATATGTTTATAACCTTTGAGCTAGAAGCTAACAACAGCTGGAGAGATGGGTGAGATATGCAAGCAGGTGGAGAACTATGTGCAAGTCAACCTCTCCAGGCTCACCTCACGTTTCAATGGGATTTCAGGAGACTTGCACAGCTGCTGGTCCCTGCTGTGGCTATAATCTCTGGAGCCATTATGTGCAGAGAATATGCACATTATGATGCTCTTCCTGGTGATGTTTAGAGGTAGCATGAAAATGTGCCGTGTGATTTGGAGAAATCCCATAGTAAGCAGGTGTTACAGGTGCTATAAAAGTCAACAGAGCTTGGTCTGTAAGGCAAATGTTTCACCTGTCCAAAATCATGATCCTGAATGGTTTTCAGTGAAAGTGATTTTCAAAGAAGTGGACAAAGAGCTACCTTACAAGAAGTGACACACACACACACACACACAACATAAGACTGTTAACAGGTATTTTCAAAATACTAATGAGAATCAAACATTTTCATTTGTACTTGAAAATCATTGTAGCTGTTGAAAAGAATGAATTACTGCTGTTTACATATATGGATTAAATGTATTATTTGAGGAGGTGCAAAGCGGAAGTGAAGTTATTCTTTCATCAGACAACACTAGCCCTTATTTTGATTTCCATACTCAAAACACAGTACACCATCTGTATTTCTAGATAGAAGGAAATAACTTGGTCAAACTACTAGTCCTTTCTGCTCTAATAACAGGGACAAACAACTCATCAGAATCTACCCTGAGGACTGATGCCAGGCTTATTTGTGGGTAAATAAGTGAACAGCATAGTTCTGTCACTTACCAACATTGTTCATGGTCACAGTTGCAGATTCACCACTCATGGGGAAAAGATTTAATATGTCTTGATCTTTTCCTTTGTTCAGAAAAGTGTGACCCAGAAGATGTACGGGCACGGTCAGATCTTGGGTGCCTACACTGGAGAGATGCCATTCAACAATGGAATCCTGGCAAAATCCCAAGATATTTGTTCCATCAGATGCGAAGCCATTGAGAGCTGGGGGGGGTGGAGAGGAAAGCTGCAGTTAAAAGTAATAGCTTCACCAACAGCATGTTGACTTTCTTACCCTACAAAAAGGATGGAATTGACTCAGATTCACACACAGCTGACAATCTATGCGACAGGTGATGCAGGATACTGCCCTACATAGAAAGCATCCTGCAACTAATTTATCAGTGCATGAAGGGAAGGGTTATATTAAACCTTTCTCTCTGATGAGTTCGAGAGATTTGTCTCTCAGGAAGGCAGAAGCAGCCTTGAATCCCACCCTTTCAGTCTACCTACTCATTCCGCTTAACTGGTCTCAAGTGTTGTCACTGTCATCAAGCTTAGCAACAGGAAAACAACATACTATCTTCTATTTTTAGTAGATGGTGGAAAGTGCCATCAAGTCGCAGCTGACTGATAGTGGCCCTGGAGGGTTTTCAAGGCAAGAAACATTCAGAGGCGGTTTGCCCTTGCCTGCCTCTGCGTAGCAACCCTGAGACTTCCTTGGTGGTCTCCCATCCAAGTACTAACCAGGGTCGACTCTGCTTAGCATCTGAGATCTGGCAAGATCAGACTAGCCTCAGCCATCCAGGGCAGGGATTTTTTAAAAAGTACACCTTGAAATAACTTACACAGTACTATGTCAGGTTCTCAAAAACTTAGCAAAACATTAGCTCAGGTGTATACTCACTGTGCATGACATTAGACTTGTAGAATTTGGGGTCATCTCTTTTGACAGTGGAGGGGTTGCTGCAGTACTGCTTGATGTTGTCCTCCAAATACCAGCTTTTGTTTTCATCGAACACCGCAAAGACGGCATGCTGCTCCACATCAGCCTTGTTCTGGAAAACACCAAGACATGCCCTAGTTGCTGATAGCACGAAGAACTCTTCACTTCATCTTGACTGATGGTTAAAGAATCCCAAAGATGGGCAGAAGGTATCCCAAGATACTCCCTAGAGGAGGAAAGATTTTAAACTTTTTGCAAGGAGTAGCATTGGGGTCACTGTCTATTCTCACGCCGTGACTTACTGCATAGCCATAACAAAGCTGGAAGTTGATTGGCCACAGATCTGGGCTGCCCAGAAAGCCACTTACTAATGAATTCACAGGCCACTGTTCTCTCTTGTAAGTGCTGGATCACTGCTACACTAGATATTTCCCCCCTGGTTTGAAAGTCATAACATTGCTATTTATCTTGGATTTCACTGACACTGACTCAACAAAAGATAGGATGATATCTAAATCTGTGATTTTCGCTAGGACAAAAGTTACACTGCAATAGCTCCTGTGATCATGACAATAAGCTAAAAGTGGTAAAATCCCATTTCTAATTCCAGATGGTTAACGACGTTGGTAAAGCAAACAAACAGCAAAGGAGTATCATGGAATATCAGAAAACCAACATCCAAGATATAAAGATGATACTGTGAAATTTAACTACAGATCAGTTAAAATGCTAATGATTTTTATTCTACTTTCTATAATTCATTTCCTTAATGTAATCTCTGCAATTCAATAAATAATCATTTATAAAATCATTTGTATGTCTAATTTTTCAAATTTTAACTAATACACAAAAATATGGTTTCCACAATCCTCACAAAATTTTCAGCACTGAACAATTCTATGTGCAGAGTGTAACGTACAATGGCAGAGGTCATTTCGGGGGGGAACGCGGGGGAACACAGTTCCCCCGGGTGAGGTGCAGGGGGCGGGGCACATGATGAAGCCCCGCCCCCTGCTTCCGACCGCCCCCTTCCAGCCCTCATTCAGCCAGGAGGAGGCAGGAGAAGAGGGAGGGTAAGTTGCTTCCTCCCCGCCTCTCCCCACCCCTGCCTGCCTGGGAGGGCCTTGGCAGGGCTTCCTCGCACTCCCGCTGGCCTTGCAGGTCCACCGCCGGGCCCCTGATGTCAGGGTGTGTGGCATATGCTAATGAGTTATGCTAATGAGTTCCCCTAGCTCTTTTTCTACAAAATGACCCCTGTACAATGGTAACCGTTAAAATATTCAATGAAAAGGACAAGAAAAGAAACATTTAAAGAGAGAACCAAACATTCAAATAGTCTCTAACCTTTGCAACCAAAAGATTTGTGGCATCTAAAAGTTTAACCACTTTATTGTAGCATAAGCTCTCATGGGGATAGAGACCAGTTGTACTTTCAAAACCTTCAAAACCGCTTTGACTAGCAAGAGTAGTGGAACCAAATAAATTAGGGTGAACTCCTCTGTCATACCATCTACAGCTCTAATGTCTATTGCTGTCTCCAGCCAGAGAAGGAACAGATCAACAACTAAGTTTGACTACTCTCTGTCTCACTGTTTCAGTCCTTGCAAGACGTGACTGTACCTGCACTCCTCTCTGGTTAAGCGCCCTGCCTTTACAGATCAGAAGGTGTCCAATCAGTCCGGAGGCGATATCCCTTGTCACATCCACAGCACTATGATACAATCTGGTAACACACTGAGGATCCTCTGCTGTGGGACCATCTGTGTCAAGTACAGTCCACTTGTACGTATATGTTTCTCCTGGTTGGACAATTTTACTTTGTGTGCTGTTCTCTAACATAAACATAAAGGAAACAAGAATATAAGCAAATGGAAGACAGTCTGTAAAGTATAATTACTAGATTTTTCTACCCTTTCCTGCTATACAGCTTTAATGTATCTCCCTTTCTGTAATACTATGTGAACTCGCTCCAGGTCACAGAATACTGCATGACGTCTGACACCACAAGTGAGTACTGGAGTCAACATGATCTCTCAATAAAACAATAAAACAATAGAGCAATAAAACTTTCTTCAAATACATTAGAAGCAGGAAACCAGCCAGGGAGGCAGTGGGGCCCTTGGATGACCAAGGGGTAAAAGGAGTACTGAAGGATGATAGGGAAATGGCTGAGAAGCTAAATGCATTTTTTGCCTCCGTCTTCACTGTGGAAGATGAGAGGTGCTTGCCCACTCCAGAGCCGCTGAGTTCGGGAGGGGTGTTGAAAGACCTGAGTCAGATTGAGGTGACGAGAGAGGAGGTCCTAAAACTGATAGACAACTTAAAAACTGATAAATCACCAGGCCCAGATGGCATACATCCGAGAGTTCTGAAAGAACTCAATTGTGAACTTGTGGATCTCCTGACAAAAATATGTAATCTCTCCTTAAAATCAGCCTCCATTCCTGAGGACTGGAAGGTAGCTAATGTCACTCCCATCTTTAAAAAGGGTTCCAGAGGAGATCCGGGAAATTACAGGCCAGTCAGTCTGACGTCGATACCGGGTAAATTGGTGGAAACCATTATTAAGGAAAGAATTAGTAGGAACATAGATGAACAAAACCTATTGAGGCAGACTCAACATGGGCTCTGTAAGGGAAGATCTTGTCTCACTAACCTGTTAATGTTCTTTGAGGGGGTGAACAAACATGTGGACAAGGAGGATCCAATAGATATTGTTTACCTTGACTTCCTCATAGCTTTTGATAAAGTTCCTCATCAAAGGCTCCTAAGTAAGCTCAAAAATCATGGGATAAAAGGACAAGTCCTTTTATGGATCAAAAACTGGCTAATTAATAGAAAACAGAGAGTGAGTATAAATGGGCAGTTCTCCCAGTGGAGGGGGGTAAGCAGTGGGGTACCACAGGGATCAGTACTTGGTCCACTGCTTTTTAACTTGTTCATTAATGATTTGGAGTTGGGAGTAAGCAGTGAAGTGGCTAAATTTGCGGATGATACGAAGTTGTTCAGGGTGGTGAAAACCAGTGAGGATTGTGAGGCACTCCAAAGGGATCTGTCAAAGATGGGCGAGTGGGCGTCAACATGGCAAATGGGGTTCAATGTGGCCAAGTGCAAGGTGATGCACATTGGAGCCAAAAATCCTAACTATAAATACACGTTGATGGGGTCTGAACTGGCAGAGACAGATCAAGAGAGAGATCTTGGAGTTGTAGTAGATAACTCACTGAAAATGTCGAGACAGTGTGTGACTGCAATAAAGAAGGCCAATGCTATGCTGGGGATTATTAGGAAGGGTATTGTAAACAGATCAGCCAATATCATAATGCCGCTATATAAATCAATGGTGCGACCTCATCTGGAATACTGTGTGCAATTCTGGGCACCACACCTTAAAAAGGATATTATAGCTTTGGAAAAAGTGCAGAAAAGGGCAACTCGAATGATAAAAGGGTTGGAACACTTTCCCTATGAGGAAAGGTTAAGGCGCTTAGGGCTCTTTAGCTTGGAGAAACGACGACTGAGGGGTGACATGATTGAGGTTTATAAGATTATGCATGGGAAAGAGCAGGTAGAGAAAGAGGTACTTTTCTCCCTTTCTCACAATACAAGAACTCGTGGGCACTCCATGAAATTGCTGAGCGGTCGGGTTAGAATGGATAAGAGGAAGTCCTTCTTCACCCAAAGAGTGATTAACACTTGGAATTCACTGCCACAGGAAGTGGTGGCGGCTACAAGCATGGACGGCTTCAAAAGGGAATTAGATAAGCATATGGAGCAGAGGTCCATCAGTGGCTATTAGCCACAAGGTATAGATAGGGACTCTGGGGCAAGTGATGCTCTGTCATCTTGGTGCTTGTGGGGGTCAACAGTGGGATGGCTTCTAATGTCCTGGCCCCACTGGTGGACCTCCTGATGGCACTGGTATTTCTGGCCACTGTGTGATACAGAGTGTTGGACTGGATGGGCCTTGGCCTGATCCAACATTGGCATCTCTTATGTTCTTATGTTCTCCTTGTGCTACATTACTTTCCTAATTGCCTCATTTCTGCTTTGATATCTATTAACTTACTTTACAGTTACTTTGAACATCCTTGACAGGACTGACATTTTGTGAGACTAGTGAGAATTCTAGGTGGGACTGCCACAGCAATACATAGTGAAAAAGCACGGAAGAAATCGAGGTCAAATAATGAAACTACTGACCTTTGGAGTCTGAAGGATAGACAGCTCCTTCTGCCTCTTTTGAAAGTGTTACACCATGCACATAAATGCTGTAAGGTCGACTGGCCATATTTTTGAATACAATCTGTTTCAAAATGGGGGGGGGGAGATAAATTCAGTATAGTACAATGCTATTTTCTTGACATAAGATTTTAGAGCTGGGTTAGGCTACAGCACTGCGTAAAACCCTGCAGACAAAAGCTACTGTCAAGGAGAAGCCCAATATTAGTACTTGTATCTGAAAGGTGGTATTATTGTTCTCACATGTCATTCACATAGATTTCAAAGGGTGGAGCTCTTATTTAAAAAGAAAAAGGTGTCTTGTGGCACTTTGGAGACTAATAGATGACCATGGTGAGAGCTTTTCTGGACCTAGAGCCCATCAGATGCGCAATCTCTGTTCTCAGTTGGCAAATATATGTTGGCAGAGAAAGTTATGTTCACAGGGCTACCTAGATAGGAAACTGCATAGCAAAATTAGGGATATTTAGAAATTCTCAATAACTAAGACAACAAATTCAGTGAATTAATGAACTCAGTAAAATGGGATTTTAAAGCATATTTGGTGCTCGGTACTTACACTGATTCTGTCTCTAACCTCTGCTCTGACAACAGGCCCCAAAATTCCACGGTCCTTTGGCCAGGTACTTTCTGTATGTTTGCTGAAGTTGGCATCTATATATTGCCTGTAAACAGCCTTTTTGTACTTCTTCCCAATGAGATTTGAAAAATTCTCCAGATACAGAGCTCTGTATTGTCTTGAAACATGGGGAAAAGGGGGAGGGACATCAGTAAAATCTCTCCAGTAGAAATACAAGCCTCTATATAAGAAGTCTGTTTCAGCAAATCTATGTAAGATATATGATTATGTGCATTATCGTAACTAAGCAAAGGGGTGTGCATAAGCTTCCATTGGGATGTACATGGAGCAACTTATAAAGTTCTTCTGTATTGGCTGTCAAGTTGCAGGATATCGTCTCTGCCTGTCCCAACAGATTGCATCAAGAGCATTCTACACAGCTTATCCATACAATAATGCCAGTTTCTACAAATGGAAAGCAACTGCATTAGGCTAAATGGTGCAATGCCACAAAAGTAATCCTACATGAGTTTCTCCATCCTAAACACAGTTATACCCTGTTGGAGTAAGCAATATCAGGTGTACAAAAAAAGAGAGAAGAATCCTGCAGGAAAAAGCACTAGAGAAGGCCAGTTAGATGGGATAGTGAGATCAGCACCTTCTTTCTTGATAAGTGTCATTCCTTGTCTGCAGATTGCTACTCTTAGGGCAATATCTCACTTCTTCTTGGAAGTTCCACAACTTGCAACTCTCTCTCTCTCTCTCTCTCTCTCTCTCTCTCTCTCTCTCTCTCATTACAGATTGTTTGTATGTCCCAAGGCTAGATAATAATCTTATCTCTTTAAGAGCAGTAGCTAAGAAAGGAATAAAAGCAAGATTTGGAGATAAATGTTTTATCAGAGATAAAGGTGAATTAATTGCAAATGGTGGTGTGAGTGAGGATTTGTACACACTTTAGTGTCACAGAGAGAAATAACTTTGCAAAGCAATGTAATCACAAGAATTGTTCCAGATTGTTGCATAGGAGATTGGGTTATAGAGACAATTATGCAATAAGCCAACCTGAAAGCAAGAATTTAACAAAAGGGATGCTAAGTGACCAAATGTGCTGATGCAGACAAGGGTGTATGCTGCATCAAAGCAAAGGAGACTAGACCACAAGACAAAGAAAACATCCCCTAGAGCTAATAACAGTGATACTTGTGGACCCATGAAAATGCAGATACCTAGTGAAAATAAATATGTGCTGACCTTTATTGATGACTACATGAAATACACTGTGACCTACCTAGTTAAAGAGAAAAGTCAAAAATTTAAGGCATATGTGGCAATGGTCAGTAACACATTCCAAAGGAAGCTACTAATAATTTGGACTGATAATGGAGGGAAATGATTGGGGCATAATAAATTACTTGGCAAAACAGAACACCATTTTATAGTCCCCTATACTCTAGAAAAGCAGAAAGAAAGAACTGCTCTCTCTCTGAAGTGTCCATATGTATGTTCCTTGAGGCAGAGCTACCTGACAAGTATTGGGGAGAAACAATCAGTACTACTACCTACCTATAAAACAGATCACCTACTAAGGGTACAAGGAGTACACCAAACCCAGCTTGAATCATCTAAGAGTGTTTGGATCAAAAGCCTACACTTACATTTCTAAAGAAAAATGGACCCAGGCAAGCCTGATCTTGTCAGATCTCAGAAGCTAAGCAGGGATGACCCTGGCAAGTACTTGGAAGGGAGACCTCCAAGGAATACCAGGGCTGGGATGCAGAGGCAGGTAATATAAGCCACCTCTCTGAAACATCCAAGCCCCACTATGGGTTGCCAGAAGTTAGCCATGATTTCCAGGCATACACAAATACACACGCATACACACACAAAAATACTCAAACCCCACCCCCCGGGAAAAAAAAGGAATACAAAGGATACAGAATCCTCAACCCAGAGACAGAAGTAGTCCAGATCTGCAGTGTGGTCTACATCAGTGAAAGGGAGAAATCAAACAACATGGAGAAAATACATTTCAGTGAATCTACACCAAAAGAGAAAAATGAAATACAACAAACAGAAACAGTGAATCTGAGAACTGTCAGACATTCAACCAGATCAAATAAAGTAGTATCACCAAGAAGGCTTTCCTGTCTGAACCTTCCACATGGGAAGACATAGCATGCCCGCAAAAGATGTAGAGAAAGGAAGAAAAGCTGCAGAAGAAAAAATCGAATCCCTAATCAAAAATCAAATGTGGACACTTACAGAACTACCTCCAGGGAAGAAGGTAGTAAGATGCAAGTGGATCTTCAAAACCAAGCACAATGAAAAAGGGGAAATACAAAGATACAAAGCAGGATTTGTTGGTAAAGGATGCTCTCAGAAATATGGAGAAGACTACAATGAAACCTTTGCACCAGTGATGAGACATACTTCAATAAGAACTTTCCTGAGCATATAGCAGCAAGGAAGATGCATGTGGAGCATCTAGACATAAAGGCTGTCTTTCTACATGGACAGGTAAAGGAAGATGTTTACATGGAACAAGCAACTCATGTGTAAACTTCAAAAGAACATCCATGGGCTGAAAGAGGTTGCAAGAAAAACTCAATCAAATGCTAATCTAGGGCCCCAGACACACGGGCCAGATAACACAGGGGGGAGGCGTGGCTGTTCGCCCGGGAGCAAAATAAAGCGCGGTAGTCCAATCACACGGTTCCCCTAGTCTCCGTGCTTCAGCTGTTAACTGGCAATCACATGGCAATGCTGCAGCGTGGCAAAGAAGTGGCACGGCACGATCACACAAGCGTTTTGCGTTTGTGCGCATGCGCAGTTCCGTGGAGCAGCACTGCTTTCCGTTTCGTGTTTGTGCACATGCGCTTATGAAAAACATCCAGTTTGCGACCGTATGTAGACGGGCGCTGGATGCCATGGGATACTAGCGCTCCCGCGATCAGACGCCCGCCTGTGCCGCGCGTTTTCCGGATGCTAGCGCACTTTCCTTAGTACTTCTTAACTCCGCATCTTCGGTGGGATGCCACGGGTTGGCCATGGGTGTGCTACGCTTCCCAGATGTTGCGGTGTCATCGCGCCCCGAAAATCCACCTGACATGCGTGCCTTTTGCATGGCAAATTCTCTGTGTGATTTCAACAAGGCAATGCCACAATACCATGTGATTTTAACAAGGCAAGGCAGAACATTGCCTACAGTGAAGAAATAGAGACAGCAAATGGACTTAGAGTCTCACTTACCTGGAGGACCTAATTTTATGATATGAAGACAAAGAGGATTGTGATGAAATAGGACACAATCTGCAGCAGGAAGCAGAAGTTTAAGGATTAGGAAACATCAGCCACTATCTTAGACTACAGATATAATGAGAAGAAGAGGAAAGCTGTCTTCTCAACCAGAAGCAGAAAATCCTGGAATTTCTTGACTACACGAACATGAAAGGAGCAAAATCAATAAGCACCTGAATCATCAAACTACCTGAAACAGCAAGGAAATAGCAAACTTCTGCCAGACAACAAGCAGTACAGAGAAGCAACTGGAAAACTGTCATATAACCTGCCACTGGAATCAAATTTAGTTCTCGCATCTCTTTTATTATCTGTATGCTAACTTGCTGCTATTCACAGACCCTACCAATTGCGTTATTCCAATCTTAGCTGTACTTATACATCTGGACTCTAATTAACTCTTCCTGGCAAGTAATCCTCCCCCCCCCACCTATACGTAGCACTTGAGGAAATCTGTTTCAGTGTATTTGAAGAAGTGTGCATCTATACATGCTAAGTCTCTCAGTTCTCACTTATGCCCAGAATTGAGCTTTATTGATCTTGGAGGTGCCACTGGACTCAAACTTAGTTCTCACATCTGTTTGTTAACTCTTATATTTGTACGCTAATTTGCTCCCATTCACAGGTCTTACCAACTGTTTTAATCCAATCTCAGCTATACTTATGCATCTTGACTCTAACTAGCCCTTCCTGGCAACTAAAACCCTCTCTCTACCTATATGTAAGGACTGAGGAAAACTTTCCTATGTATCTGAAGAAGTGTGCATGCACATGAAACTTTGCTGGTCTTAAAGGTGCCACTGGACTGAAACTTTGTTCTCTTGCTTCAGACCAACATGGCTACCCACCTGAATCTGTCATATATATGTACATTGCTGGGTTCTAACATCACAGCAGCTCTGGGCATGTTATGCAGGAAAACTGACTCACTGAGCAAAAAGGACTGGAATGCAGTCAAGAGACTTGCAAAGTACCTGCATGGCGCTGCACATCTGAAACTAAAGTTACCAACAACTGACTATCCCAGACTAGTGGGATACATGGATACAGACTGGGCAAGAGATGCTATAGACAGGAAGTTCACCAGTGGTCATACATTCTTTTATGGTAGAGAAGCCATCAGCTGGAGCAGCAGGAAGCAAGAAACTGTAGCTGTGTCCTCAACTGAAGCTGAACATGTGTCTCCATCAGAAGACTGCAGACAACTCAAGTGAATACTGCATCTAATGCAAGACTTTGGGATAGATGAACCGCAACCCATACAATTCGAAGAAGAAGAAGAAGAAGAAGAAGCAGAAGAAGAAGAAGAAGAAGAGGAGGAGATTGGATTTATCCCCCACCCTTCACTACCCAAAGGTGTCTCAGAGCGGCTTACAAACTCCTTTCCCTTCCCCTCCCCACAACAGACACCCTGTGGGGTGGGTGGGGCTGAGAGAACTCTGACACAAACTGCGCTTTTTCAAGGACAGCTGTGCCAGAGCTTGTGGCTGACCCAAGGTCACATCAGCAGGTGGAAGTGGAGGAGTGGGGAATCAAACCCGGTTCTCCTAGATTAGAGTCCGCACACTTAACCACTACACCAAACTGGATGCACAAAAACTTGCAAAGACAGAGAAGATCAACTCAAGAACTAAACACATAGATGTGAAACATCATGTAGTAAGAGACATGCATGAAGAAGGGCTTGTTGAGTTCCAATACAGTCTCACAGACGAAATGCTCGTGAATGCACTCACCAAGCTACTTTCTCAAGAAAAGTTTGAAAGTCTATGTAAGAAGATGTATCTTTTGGACTTTGGACACTAGACCCTGAAAAGGGCTGTTGCAATTGACAATGGTTGGTATACAAAGAAGAAAAGAAGAAGAACCCTGCGGGGGGGGGCAGCAAGAGGAAAGGCCAGTTAGATAGGATAGTGAGCTCAGCACCTTCTTTCCAGATAAGTGTCGTTCCTTGTCTGTTTCCAGATTGCTGCTCTTAGGGCAATATTCTGCTTCTTCTCCGAGTTTCTCAACTCACTCACTCTCTGTCTTTCTCAGCTTGTGATGTAGCTAGTACTATCTCAGTCTCCCTTTAAGCTGAGTTAGTGTGAGCTAGCTCAGTTTTTAAGCCTCTGACTAACATAGTTTTTGTCTTAGCTCAGGAAAGATGACTCCAGAGCCAAATCTGTAGTAGCCCAATTGCTCACTCATAACTTTAATGCCAGTAGCTCACAAAGTAGAATTTTTGCTCACAACACTCCACAGCTTAGAGGGAACATTATCAACTATGTTAATTCCTGAATAAAGCTTTCTCTACATTTGCTCTGTTGCAAATTAGTCAGCCAACACCCTTCTAAGTCCATTGAAATCAGTGAGCTTAGAAGGGTATAACCCTGCTTCGGATGGCACTACAGATGACTTGCTGTTTGGGTGTGGGACAAACAAGACATTGTGCAGAAACATATTTCAAAAATTCAACTATATTTTTAAAATGAAAAGATATCTTTGAAAGCTGAAATGGTGGGAGGAATGGCTATTCCTGGGCTACAACTGCTCCCTGCCCCAGTGGAATACATGGATCCTCTAAGTCTAAGAGGCTCTTCAAGGACATATATGAACAAAAGTGACTCAGATGTACAAAGTCTGGGAATTAGGTGATGGAGAGTTTCTAGGAAAAGAAAGCTACCTCTTTGGTGCTTTGGACAAATGTTACTCCAAAGTTCTAAAATGTTGATCTGCCAGGCATGCTGCATACCCTGTATTTCTGTTCCTCTTTGGTTTTTCTTGTCATATAGAGGACACACAGTTCACAGTTTGTTAATCTTTGAAACCCTCAGGCTCACTTCCTCCTCCCTGTCTCTATTTCCATCTTTCTTCTTCACTTTCACACAGCTTGGACAGTAGTAGTTTCTAAAGCAAACCATAGCCTGTCAGTTTGTTTAAATTCCAAAATGAACTACAGTTTGTCCTCTTGCCTTCAAGCCAAGATCCCAGGCCATGTTTTAATTCTGGTTTGAAAAATAAACCACTATTTTTGGTCCAGATGTAATAAACTACAGTTCACTGTGGAATTGTTAAGTATTAATTTCCAAACTGTGTGCAAGGGGAGGAGGCGGAGGGAGGAATGTACAAGCCTAAGGATTTTGCAAGATTATCCCTGTAATGCTAAACTATGGTTTGTTGCTACATGTGAAACATGCCTGACTAATTTCTATAGAAACTCTGGCCCTGGTCACACTGGGGGAAATAGGCGCGGTCAAAGTGTGGCTTTTTTGAGCCGCACCAAAAGAGAAGCGCAGCGGCGGGATCAGATTCCCCCAGCTGCCGCGCAGTTCCTCCCCGGCACGATTAGATGCCGGGGGAAGCCACAGACCGCAGAGCGAGGCGAGCCCACTGCGCATGCGTGTGCACGCAAACGTCAGCAGGACCTCACATGCTGCAGGAGAGACGGGTGCACCGGCGATCACACGTCCGCCCCTGCAGCGGATTTTTCAGTAAGTACTAGTGTTTCGTAGGTTTTTTTTCTGATCCGCATCTTTGGTCGGAAGAGACGGATCGGGGACGGGTGCGCGCCGCTTCCCAGATGTTGCGGTGTGATCGCGCCCGCTTGATGTGCCCCCGATCCGTCCCTCTTGCGGATGAAAGCCTCCGGTGTGATTGGGGCTTAAGATGCTCATTAACAGAGAGAGAAATTCAGGAACAAGATGCTACTTCACAATAATAAAATATACTTATTTACAAAGTTTACCAAAAATCTGCGGTTGCTTTCCCAATACTTTCTCAATCTACCTCACCAACCTCTTGGCATTTAAATCACAACTTCCTAATCCTTGGGCACCAGGCTCACTACACCCCTCAGGTTGCAAAACATTTCTCACTTCCACCAAGTTACCTATCAACACTCTCAGGAATTTGTGGAGCATAATCCCAGATGACCTCTTCTGCAGCAATGAAATATTCCCAATCTTTAATCATTCGCAGTTCTTTATAGGATAATTTCTTTGTTAATATATCTAGATTTCCACATTCTTCTATCTTGAGGTAACCGTGCATTCCAGCTGGTTTGAAAGACAGAATTGAACAAGGACAATTATGACTATTAGTCCTTTAAAAAAAGAAGAAGCTGTAATTAGCTGTATTGGCCAAAACAAAATAGTAAAATCCAAACAAAATAATAAAATCCATGTAATACCTTTCTATTAGGGTCAACCAAAGCAACACAAAACATAATCAAAGTAAAAAGGTATTACTTCATAAGCAACTTTGTAGATAAGTTGCCTTTTGCAATACTTTTTTGCCATCTAGTCACAGCTGATTTATGGTGACCCTGTAGGGTTTTCAAGACAAGAGATGTTCATGGGTTCTTTGCCATTGCTTGCCTCCATGTAATGACACTGATATTCTTTTTTGGTCTCCCATCCAAATACTAGCCAGGGCGGACCCTGCTTAGCTGCCAAGATCTGACAAAATCAGGCTAGCCTGGGCTATCCAGGTCAGGGAAGCCTAGTTTGATTAAAATTAATATGTACCTTTTAAATCTGTAATTTAAAGATGCAAGATTTGGTTTTATATACCCCCTTAATGGACCAGAAATTTCCCAGTTTATCCCACAAGAAAGAATCTAGGAGCCATTAGCCACTCTTTTAGTTTATTTTAAATAACAGCCATGAGTTGAATTCTACATTTGCATTGTTTTTTATAATGTTTCTTTCTGTGGAATAGGGCCTTTTAAAAAGCCCTTAGTTATGTATCTTTCCCACGGTGTTGCATCATGAATATCTTCAACCTTCTGAAGAAATCTCAAAGAAGAGTTGTTTATTCACCAGCAGTGGCTTTGTTCTTAGTGCACAAACTACCTGGAGAACCAGTAATTGCTAGGGCTAAGATTAATCAATCTTCTGTTTTTTAATTAATTTAAATGAATTTATTTATCATGAAAACTTCAGTATGTACCTGAAATAAACAGAAGATAACTTCAAATCAATAAACAAAAACTACCACTCATTGTTAGGAGGTCATTTGTATTTTTGTCTCATTCATATTATGGTATCACACCAGAACCAATGCAGCCCCAACAAATAAATAAATGTGCTCATAACATTCATACTCATCAACTTAAATTCCTCCTCACCAGCTAAAATAAAGCATTATTTAGTACAAACCAGTTAAGACTGCCATCCTAATAGTTCTTCCTTCTTATCTGGAAGGACCAGTGTAAGTGCACTTTCCCAGCATCAGGGTCTTCTCCAGTAAGTAACAATGCATTAAAGAGTCTAATAGAGGAGTGAGTCACGTGATTGGGTTTTGACCACTGTGTGACACAGAGTGTTGGACTAGATAGGCCATTGGCCTGATCCAGCATGGCTTCTCTTATGTTTTTATGACAGACTAGACACATGGTAATCACTTGAAATCATTGTGCATACTGGCTCTCTGCTCATGGTAAGCCAATAGTATACAGGTACCCAGGGGTCATTTCATAGAAAAAGAGGCGCAGGAGCTCATTAGCATGACTCATTAGCATAACTTATTTGCATATGCCACACCCCCTGACATCACCAGAAGTGTGTCGAAAGGCGCCACCCGCCACTCAGGCTCCACGTGACTGTTTTGGATTGCTAGCTATTGGGGGGGGGAACGTGCAGATCTGCCCTCACAGAGGAGGGAGAGCTTGTACCTGAATAAAACTTGGTCTTAAAGGTGCCACTGGACTGTTTTGGCCAGGGGGGCTGGGGGGAGCTCTGCAACTTACCTGGCTGCTTCTTGCTCCGACTGAGGGCTGCTGGGAGCAGGGGGTGGGACTTGTTGCATGTGCCTGCCCCCTGGGATCTTTACTGCCGGAGCTCTGCTCCTGTGCGCTCCTGCAGGAAAGGACCCCTGCAGGTACCACTTCACAGAGCATCATGCTTTATGCACAGATGCAGTATCAATAGTGCATGGAAGTGCCCTTGAATCGCTCAGTTTACAGCAAGCACCGGCAGTCATGGCTGGTCCCACCCACCATATTAGTCTACTTGTCTGCTGCTGAAAACAAGATTGACCCAGCAGAGTGATTAATGCATATCTCAAATCAAATTGGAAATCAAGAGGCACATGTTTGGTGTAGTGGTTAAGAGTGCAGACTGTAATCTGGGAGAATCAGGTTTGATTCCCCACTTCTCCACATGTAGCTGCTGGTGTGACCTTGGGTCAGTCCCAAGTTCTCTCATAGCTGTTCTCTCAAGAGCAGTCCTCAAAAGAGCTCTCTCAGCCCCACTTACCTCACAGGGTGTCTGTTGTGGGGAGGGGAAGGGAAAGGAGATTGTAAACTGCTCTGAGACTCCTTCGGGTAGTGAAGGGCGGGGTATAAATCCAATCTCCTCCTCCTCCTCACAGTATTTTACCTCTATGTTCATTCCCATGCTCTGCATCCAAACTCCATCCTGAACCTCAAAACTATCTCTCACTGGTTCTAGTCAAGCCTTTACAGGAGGACATCAATACTTTCTCCTAATGGACTACCTATATTGTCTTGTTTGCTGGTCACGCCCATTAAGTTAGGTAACACAATCACTTCAAGAGCAAAAGCAAACTTACATTTTCAATTTCCTTTGTACATGTGCTGTTACAGTAGAACTCATGGTTGGTTTGGACTCCCACTCCCCATTTTTTGGCTGGACAGAGATAACAATAGAAAGTTTTCTGGTGCAACACTGATGCGGTCATCAGCCTATTTTTATGGCTTTGAACATACTGCTTTGTAGATGAACTGCAGTTCTCCCTAAAAGCTTTCACAACTTAAATGAAACAAAAAATTATGTATGCCCTCCATTCAAGGGAAAAAATCCCTACAAGCCTGTGGTCAACTGCACAACTGCCTGCTTAATAAAGATCTCCTTGCCTTGCAGATGTTTTTGGACAATGGAAGATATTAGCCACTTTCCTGTGCGGCTCACAGACATGTTTGCTGTGGTTGATGCCCCTCCGACAAGGTTGATGGTCGACACTTTGTAGTGGTTTTGCTCCAGCGTTTGACCATTGAAATGGATGGAGAAGATCTCTGGTGCAGAACTCATCCCTATCAAATGCCAGCTAATGCGATCATAAGCACACGCCTCTACGTCTGAAATAAAAACAACAGGAGAGACACAGAGAGAAAACAGGTGAACTATCTTAAAAATCAGACAGTGTCACTCACAATATGATTCCCTTCTAGAATCTGTGTGTGGAAATTCATTATTTAATGAATGAATGACAGAAGAATGGAAAGTCCAGTTTTATTTACTCAATAGATGACCTGCAATAAAAACCCTTTTGTACTTGGGGCCCCAACCTGGGGAGGGAGACCTAACTCACAAAAAACAATAACAAACAAAAAAACATGGCTGGCAGCTCTAGATAGAACCAGTGCACATAACCAAAGTGGCATGCAGAGAATACAGGCTGAAGAGATCAGTGCAGAGTATTGCAAGTGATGAAACCATTCTGTTTCGCTTCATCATGTAGCCAGCTCAGCTGAGGGGTACCAACTAACCACGTCCAGTTCAGTAATTTCAGTTAAATGAAGCATGGAGAATAAGTCTGTTTCACTGATTAGTGGTCTATGTGTAGTTATTAGCCATGATGACTCAATGGAACCTTTGTATTTAAAGCAAGAATTCTTCTGATTACTAAATGCTGGAGACAAATAACACCAAATTCTATTTCCTCTTTGCTTTGCTTTATCCACTTCCAGAGGATGGCATCTGTGGAAAACGAATGCTGGTCAGTTCTTGCCAGACAATTCTTACGCTGTTATGTTTAGGAGCTCTAAATTAGGATTATTAATGCAAGTTGAGCTGCAAATTAAGTTCATGGAATAAACTCTCATGACTACCGCAACATATTAAGCAGAGATCCCCACAACTCATGTTTTTCATCTTCTCGGTTTGATTCTGTGAATTGGCTCTGACTGTTTAGAACACTGATCCACTCCAACCACATTTCATAGACACCGGGTTATGTGAACTGGTCATCATCACTGTGGGTGGATGGGCAAGATGTTTTATTCATCTTTTTATAAAGGGAAGGAAGAAGGGCAAGAAGACCTGGGTCTCTTACAGTGCAACCCTCTGCATGTTCACTCAGCAAGCGGGCAAACTTTGTTCTATTTGATTACTCCCATGTAAATTTGCATAGGATTGTAGCACCACTTAGTGTGGCTTGCAGTGAAGTATGTAAATCCCAATCCTGCATATGATAGTACCTGCACATAGTTTAAACGTTATAGAAAAGCTGCAATAAAAGTGCAATTTCTGCTTTCTCTGGTTCTGTTTTAACATGCAATGCACATGCTTGAAGAGCATCATGAGTCCCACAAAACCTCTGGAACTCATGGTAATATCTGAATCCCTCTTTTTCCCAGATGATTGCAGAAATGGGAATATAAAGATACAAATCAATCAAATCAAATGTATTTCAGCTTTCCCTACTCTGTCAGACAAATTCATGCAGTACCTGGAAGAGTTCCATTAGCATAACCATTGATCGTGTACATGAGGGAAGTAACTTTTTGCCAGCTTTTGGTTTCATCAAATACAGCAAACATCAACACATATTCCTGATCGAACAATTTCTGTGTTCCATTTTCATATAAGCTTCCTAGAAGAGAAGGGGGAAAGGGTATCCCCAGATCAAAAAGAAACTTTCAAAAATCAGACAGGTACAGATTATGAAGACTCTAGTATATTCCTCCCAGGGTGACATAATTCAGGTTTTCACAGCCCAGCCTCTTCCTCACAAGCCAAAGATCAGGAAGGGTTTGCTTTTAATTTGTTTCGTTCTTTATTAACCTCTGTTTCCTGCCTTTCTGCAGGGAGCTCAGAATTGCATATGTGACATTCCCATGAGATTCCCGGTAATATCCAGACATGTTTTCTTTCAACTATGATGCTAAACTGGACAGTTTCAGATGATTCCCTGGTTCTAAGCACTGAGCTTACATTGAACTGTCACTGTTAAATAGAATCCTATTTTTTTATTAAAAAATGGAATACCATTGTCCTTAATGGTGCAAAGATAACCTTGTCTGACAATAGTTGTTCGAAAACTCAATGACTAATAGGGGCATTGCATTCATTCTAAGTTGCTTCACTTGAGTCATTTTAAAACAAAAGTTAACAAACCATTTATCCCATGCCTAATTTGCAAAAGTTATACTCAACTGGGAGGGGCTGAAGCCAGTGTTCCCTCTAAGCTGAGTTAGTGTGAGCTAGCTCACAGTTTTTTAACCACTGGCTCACACATTTTTGTCTTGGTTCAGGAAAAATGGCTCCAGAGCTATCAAATACACAAATACAATACCTTTATTGGCATAAAATCAAATACACATGCAGCATAGAGCCTCAAGATAGGATGGAGGGGTATCACATTCCGAATTGCCTTAATATGAGCCTCTCCTCCTAGATACCTCATAAAAGAAATTTGCTACAGGTTCCAGAATTTCTATATTATGCGAAGACAATAAAGAACTAATTTTATGCTCATTAGATTGGCCCAAAAGGGGGTCCAACACAGGTTCAATATAAACAACACGGATGTCATAGTGAAATTTACAGTGCAATAGCACATGTCCAATGGATTCAATTTCCCCCATCCCACAGGGGCACAATCTATCTTTATAGGGAATTTTCTTGAACCTTCCAGAGCTATCTAATTAATGCAGTAGCCAAATTCCTGGCTCACAACTTTAATGCCAGTAGCTCACAAATAAGAGTTTTTGCTCAAAAGACTCCACAGCTTAGAGAGAGCACACCTCCCAGTGCAGAAACTATGGTTCCCAATCCCAAATACTGGGGGTAACAACCTAAAACTTTGTTACTGTAAAGTTTATTTCTATGACAGAAGTTCATTTTATTGTAATTGTTTTCAAGGATTCTATTGTATTTGAGAGACATCATGAATGCTGTTTTCTAGCAGAAAGGCAGGCCAAACATGTTAATACTAAAATTATTTTGTTTAGATATTGACAGAAAACACATAAATGCAGGTAATAAATGGATACAGTAGGCTTGCCAGTGTCCAGGTGGTGGCTGGAGATCTCCTGGAATTACAACTGGTCTCCAGCCAACAGATATCAGTTCCTGTGGAGAAAACTGCTGCTTTGGAAGTTGGCCTCCATGGCATGACATCCTCCTGAAATCCATCCCCTCCCCAAACCTGACTGTCCCCAGGATCCACCCCCCCAAATCTCCAGGAATTTCCCAACCCAGAGCTGGCAACCTTAAGGTACAGATATGCCTCAATTATTAACATCTCATAATTTCATCAGCTTTAAAATATGCGATTACCTTCTTTACATATCAGCAAGGCACCGATAAGGCCAGAATTAAAATCCTGTACCATGTTTTCATGGGAGTAGTAGGTATAGGTGAGACAGGCGGGGTCAGCTTTTCGAGGCCCAATTTCTGCAGTGATTGCCCACACATACTTATAAGTCTGGCCTGAAGGCACAGCATCATCCAGTGTCTCCATAGGTGATGTTTTGTCAGAATACGAGGCACCTTAAGCCAGTGGAGATAGGGGACAGTGAATATTTGCCATCCTAATAGATAGAACGCCACATACTAATAAGGTCTTTAGAACAAAGAGGATATCTAACTTTTACCATAAATAATAAATGATGTCCTTGCATACAAACTCCTCCCCACACACACACATGCTGATCGTGGAGCTATTCATGCAGACAGCATACTTTGCAGGCTTGGATTGGCTTTTCCTGTTTCTCCTCAAACAGTAAAAATAAGAACAAATAAATTTAGTCACTTCTCTTACACAGCTTCATTCTTCTTGTTGTTGTTGCTCAGAGGTGTATGAGCATAGTGTACAGGAATATTTATTCCCAAATAGGACTATTAATGTATTTGCTATTATATTACTGTGTGAACAAAGAAAAGCTGTGATTCTGTGAACCTTTTCAGATTGCCTTTCCCCTCTGCTGCTGTGCTGACAAGATTTGCTGAATGTTATGTAGAAGAGCATCTATGCGCCCGAATGGCATGCAATCTCATTCTAGCTTTACTGGAGCAGAAATTATCTCATTTCAAACATGAACATCAAAATCAAACAGCATGACAGCAATGTCTGGATATTCTGAGGCAGGAGGCTTGACACAGACATTTGGATCAAACACTATCCAGAGACTTAGTTTTCTGTGCTGTGGACTGTAGCCCTGCCGGTGAGATATGCTCATTAAGGAAGGCAACATGGTGCCCAGCAAGAAATAAAACAAACAAATTTGGGGTGGTAAGGGTCGGGAGTCGGGAGTTCCTGGACTTTTACTTTATACTGAAACCAACTTATGTGTGTCCACTTTTAATTTTCCAGATAACCTGAGGTCATATAAGATCCTGAGGGAGATTCACAAGATTGGATACCGCCTCTTGGACAGGCAGGAATGAATCTATTTATTCTGTGGATTTCTTTCTCTAGCTGTCCTATACCACTTGGACAGCTCCCCTAACCTCTCAGCAGCATCTTTGGAGGTCACAACTGCAGGTGAGAAAGCCCCATTCTATAAGCATAATTCTGTGAATCACACTTATCTGAACTAACTTGTCTAACTCTGGCAGGTGATGAGGTCGGGTGTATGGAATGTCCAGCCATTTCCAAAGAGCATTGAGTGATGCAGCAGCTCCATTCCCATGCCTTCCAACGTTTTCCCGAAAAAATAGAATCATCTTGTATGCAGTGGTTGAATAATGGATCTCCTTTAGGTAGTTCACTGTAGCAAGTGTGTGTGTCTGCTGACACAATTTTAAAAACTTCGCCAAGAGGAGAGGAGGGGCTGTGGGCTCAGTGGTAAGAGGAGGGGCCGTGACTCAGTGGCAGAGCATCTGCTTGGCATGCAGAAGGTCCCAGGTACAATCCCAAACATCTCCAGTTTAAAAAGGATGAGGTAGTAGGTGATGTGAAAGCTTCTACCAGAGACCCTGGAAAGCCACTGCCAGTCTTAGTAGACACTCCTGACTCTGATGGACCAATGGTCTAATTCAGTATAATTATGCATTCATAACTAGTGATGAAATGGGGATAGCGGTTTGTCAGGGACAGCTACCTGGAAATAGGGACTCTCCATGGTAAGTGAAGCTAGCTGGATCCACCATCTGTTCTTCATTGCTCCCTGCCTGCTGTTAAGCTCCACAGGAAGGTCTATATGTCATTCATAGACCTTCTTGTATTACTAGCACCAGGCACTTGACAAAGGAAATGTTTTTTTAAATATCATTCCAGTAAAACACTAAGTAAACAGCACACAAGCAAGGTAAGCAAATTGACAGATGCTGAGTACATAAACAGTCACAGATCAGATCCAAAGTTCAGAGGGATCAGGAGGCCACTGCGGTTTTCCTGACAATTTCTTTTACTGCCTTCTCTATCACTATACTTGCAGCACCTATCTTGCTGTAGGATTGTGGCAGGGAGGGCGGGATATAAATCAAATAAATCAAATCATTCACTGTTTCAAACATGGCAGTATGAGAAGCTGAAGGATGCATGTATGTGCTTCCTCCTAAGACAATGTCCTTAGGTTCTGTTGGGCCAAGTCAGACAGAGATGGTGGTGGCAGAACAATGCAGCAACTTGGCAGTGGCATCGGGCTCCTTTGCTTTTGAAAACTGGCAACTGTTGCATGCATGTGTGTGCAACATGTAGCTGATCCCTAATAAGGCTGGGAAATGCTTGGAGAGCAAGGATGAGTCTTGTAAGTTTTTTTTTTTTTAAGGAGCTTGAGTAACTTATTTCTCAGCTGAAGGACCTGCTGCTGCAGATTTCACATAACTACACTGAAGTGGGGTGGCCGGGGCTGTGTGAAAGCATTTTGTCCTCCCATTATAGCAAGTTATGAATTTGGTTGATTCACAAGCTTGTGAGGATGTGGGATGCTTGTGGAGAGTGCTGAGTCCAATGCAGGCACAATTATCTGAGCATGAGCAAGGTGTGAGTACAGGTCACGTCATCACCATTCCCAAAGTTATGGGATGTGGTTGAATAAACTGTGGTGATCTTCAAGCTGTGCTTGAGTGGACCAGTTCAGCTTTCACCACAAATATGAACCTGTACCATACCAAAAGAGTGATGTGACTCACTTCTCCCACACTGTGGAAGGAACCAAGTACTTCTTGAAGTATTTAGCACCATAGAATCCCTTAGTACCTTAAAAGACTAAACGCTCTATGAGAAGTTTGTCAGGATGTACACTATATATCACAAGTGCTGCAATAATATTTCTCGCGTGTGTTGTTCCAGAATCTGTTCTTGGTTGGGAGGACCGGAAGTCCCTATGAATAGAGCCAGTTTGGTGTAGTGGTTAAGTGCGCGGACTCTAATCTGGGAGAGCCAGGTTTGATTCCCCACTCCTCCACTTGCACCTGGCTGGATGACCTTGGGCAAGCCGTAGTTCTGATAAGAGCTGTCCTTGAAAAAGAGCAGTTTCTGTCAAGAGCTTTCTCAGCCCCACCTACCTCACAGGGTGTCTGTTATGGGGAGGGGAAGGGAAAGGAGTTTGTAAGCCACTCTGAGACACCTTTGGATAGTGAAGGGCAGGGTATAAATCCAATCTCTTCTTCTTCTAAAGCCAGCACTATTCACTTCTTTGGCAAGTGTTATTTCTTATTTTCTCACATAACATTCATAAGCTCTCTCACATTATCTGTTCAAATTTTGTGAACATGAGATAAAGAGATATTACACTGGAATTACAGGTGCAGGGGAAGAAAACTCCATTCCAGTCAACAGTTACAGAAGGGGACCAGAACATCTCACAGCACTTACCTTCCGATTGTTTGCTGTATGATATGCCTTGTGGGTGAATGCTCAGTGGTTTGTTTGCCATGTTCTTAAAATGAATGATGAGAGTATCTCCCACTTCAGCATGTAGCGTTGGCCCCAGAAGCCCTACAAAAATGCAATGCTTTTTTAAAAACAGGAAAACGCTTGAAAAACAAAATCGCACTTCTTGGCAAAAGAGATTTGGCCTCCCCTGATTGGGATGGGATTATAATACAGGAAGGAAAGAGGGTCAAACCTGAGGTGGTAAGGCTGATGCTGCTGGGTCTACTGATGGTGTTGCTAGGATCTATATGAGAGCAAAGTTGGCATCTTTGTTTATTGCAGGCCTTAGTACCAGAATCCATGTTACTGTTAAGCAGTTTATCATTGCAGGTCAGAAGTTGGTTTAGGTTAGCAGGCTCTCTGTAAGCAAGAAAAGCCTGGCCCCCTAATACCGATGTGAGGGAAGTGTCACTATCCAGCATGGCTTGTAGGTCATTAATAATATATTGAACTGGCTTGAGTTGTGAGCTGTAGGTGACCACCAGTGGTGTTTTGTTGTCACTTTCTTTGGGCTTGTCTTGTAGCAAGCTGGGTATCATTCTGACCTTTCCAATCATCTTTCTCACCTCACCAGGAGGATATTGTAGTTGCAAAAATGCCTGCTGCAGATATTACAAATTAGTATCTCTGTCTGAGGGGTTGGAGTAGATGCGAATATAAGCGTAGAGCTTGGCTATACACAATGGATTGTTTGATGTGGTTGGAGTGGTAGCTGGAGGCATGTCGGTTTGCAGTATAATGTACCGTGTTTCCCTGAAAATAAGACACTGTCTTATATTTATTTTTTCTCAAGAAGACACACTAGGGCTTATACCACAAATGCATAGAAATCCTGCTAGGGCTTATTTTTGGGGTAGGTCTTATTTTCGGGAAAACAGGGTAGTATATCTGTACTGTGGTGTCCAGGGAGTTTATTTCTTGTGTAGAGTAATTCATAGCTAGATTCATGGTAGGGTGGAAGTTGTGGAAAGCCTGGTAGAACCTCTTGAGGGCTTCTTTGCCATGGGTCCAGAAAATAGAAATGCCATCAAATAATCTCAAGTAAAGGAGAGGTGCCAATGGGTAGGAGTTCAGAAAACACTGTTCTAGATCTGCCATGAAAATGTTGGCATACTGTGGAGTCATGCAAGTGCCCATGGCTGTGCCATTGATTTGGAGGTATAACTTCTCACCAAACCTGAAGTAGTTTTAGGTGAGAACAAACATGCAGAGTTCAGTGGCAAGATCTGCAGTGGTATTGTCAGGGATGAAGTTTCTAATGGCTTGTAGTCCATCCCTACAGGGGATGTTGCTGTACAGAGATTCAACAGACAGAGATACTAATTTGAAGGATCTACAGCAGGCATTTTTGCAACTACAATATCCTCCTGATACAATGAGAAAGATGATTGGAACTGAGTGGTGATATTCTAAAGAGCTATTACCTATTTTGTAGTAATGCCTTCTGGTGGATGGGGTCACATTAACTAGGAAATTCATATGAAAACATCCAATTATATTGCTATGAAAAAGAAGAGAGAGTAATTTTCTAAAGTAAGCATTTACTGAATGTGAGATATCTTACTGGTGGCCAATTTTCAGATGTTTTGTCACCTGCTCTCTAAAAACAGGAAATGTATGTACCACATATTAATAGCTTTAACGTGAAGAGCCAGTTCCCAGCAAACACTATGCTGGGCCCATAACCTATTGGGTTAACTGGTATGGTTAGTCTAGTATCCACTAGTTAGCAAAGTGCTTTAAATAAAGCTACACATGCAGGAGCATCTTTCTACCAGGTCACCCAGCTTACTAAGCCGCACAGAGCCACATTTCAAGTTTAAGACTAATACTAGTTACTATTTTAGAACTACAATTTAGATAGGAAAGTTTAGAGATAGGATAGTATTCTAGTCTAGCTTACTAGGGATGGACACAGATGGTGAGAGGCCATCTGTGTCATGGTGCCAAGATGAGGACAGTGTGTCCTCCCTCTCGGTGTGTACAGGGAGAAAAGAAGAGAGTTGTGGGAGAGGATGAACAGAAGGAAGTTTCCCTAAGAATATAGTCTACATATCAAAGAGGACAGTGGCAAAAGAGCAAACACAGGAAGGAAGCTTAGGGTTTGCCCTCTCTAGCTGTCTAACTCTGTTGCCACAGAGTCTGGAGACTGAGGCAGGGGACAGCATCCAGTCCTTCACTTTCAACACATACAGCAAGCAAATGACAATTCATCTTCCACATAATAGCTCTTAAGTCCCTTATATTTAACAGCTCCAGCTGAACCACTACCAATATGGTACCACTCTCATTCATCTAACACTACATTATTATATTATAGAATGAGCACTTTCACTTTATATTCTCTATGTCCTTCACCAGGGGGCCACTGGGAGGTTGCACCTCTCCCTCCCTCATGGTAAGATGCAGATCATCCTGAGCTCAGCCATCACCAAAAACTGGCAGGGGCCTCCTTTTCCCTGTTCAAGGAAAGCTACTTTAGGTCACCATTGGGGAGAAGGGCGGGATATAAAAGAAGCAAATAAAATACAATAATACTAAAAAAGAAGGTATTGAGGTGGAGGGTTGTTTTGAGGGTGTGATTCATGCATGGGATACTGAAATGTGTCCTTCTCCAACAGAAATTCATACCCACCCAAGCTGTTGTTAGATGCAGTAGCAAATAAAGACCGGTAAAATATGGTGATCCTTTTTCATTACTGGGTCTAATAGCTCAAATGGTGGTAACGACAATGGATTTCTGTGGGGAAAATTATATAGGGTAAAGAGTTAACCCCTGACACACAACAGTGGCATGGCCATAACCCAAACTGAGCCTTTCCCTCACAACTGCTCCCATAACCCTAGGAAGAGATGATCCTATATATGCCATGTAATGCTTAGTTTAACTGCTTGGGTTGAACTACGCGATACATTTTCTTCCACATTCATCTTAAATTATTTTTTCCTTTTACAAATGCTGCTCCTGGGATTGCTCTTTCAAGAAAGAGAATCATATGGAGTATGAGATGTGAGCTTGCAGGCAGGGGCTGCCTCTCATTTCCATTTACGTACAAAGCCCACTAGCAATATTGTGTACTGAATTACAAGCTAAAATATAATAAATAAATAAACTGGTTTAAAACTATTAACTTGGGTTTGTAACAATGGGGAGTTACACTGATTAAAAAGTAGCTTCTGAAAATAATGTTCTCTTCACCTGAGAGAGCATCTGGTGGTTTTTCTTTTTGGAAACCGGCTTCATACTCCCTGTAGACAATTTTGTTGAATAAAGAGCCTGAATTTGGTACTCTGAAACAAAAAAGGATTTTTGTCAGATAAAATCATTTATATGGGAGGGAAAAAAGAATGTACAAAAACTATGATATAAATAAGCTGTTCCAATTAGGCAGAGTTGCAGAAATTAATGTGTACATTTTATTGCTTTTGCACATTTTGTGGGACTTCTAAGACTATATTTTAGAATTTGCCATTTTGCATTCTGACCTTAGGTCTTGAATGGATTTAGTCAGGGATGGAGAAAAGGCAAGAAGCATAGGAAACTACCACAACACTACCAAGTTTTATTCTGAAACCATATGGGTTAGAAACTTCCTGTGTTTTAAAATGAAAGCCGATAATCTCATGATCTGGGAGGAGGAACTGAGATCTGGATATTAGATTTATGGCTGCAATCCGCATATCCAGAAAGAAGGATAAAGAATGTCTCCCAATGGTGTTCTTACAATCCACCTTGTCAGACCATTTCAGTGTTAAATGTGGTGCTGTTCTGTGGAGGAGCTGTGCAATTTCTGTCAGTTGAAGGCACTACTACATGTCACCTACGGGCTTCTCACTGCTTGTTCTTCTCTGGACACTCAATCCATCTCATGTTGAGTCTTCCTCTTTTCCTGCTGCCTTCAACTTTAGCATCATGGTCTTCTCATAATGTGACCAAAGTACGATAGCCTCAGTTTAGCCAGTTTAGCTTCTATAGGCAGTTCAGGCTTGATTTGGCCTAGGTCCCACTTGTCTTTTTGGCGGTCCATGGTATCTGTAAAACTCTCCTCCAGCGCCACATGAATCTACTTTCTTCCTATCAGCTTTCTTCATTGTCCAGCTTTCACACCCATGCATGTAGTGCCGAATACTACGGCATGAATTAACTTGATCTTGACAGGGGTCATTTTGTAGAAAAAGAGGTGCAGGAGCTCATTAGCATGACTCATTAGCATAACGTATTTGCATATGCCACACCCCCTTACATCATCGGAAGTATGTCAGAAGGCAACACCCACCACTCAGGCTCCACTGGACTGTTTTGGATTGCTAGCTATTGGGGGGGGGGTGTGTGCAGATCAGTCCTCACAGAGGAGGGAGAGCCTGTACCTGAATAAAACTTGGCCTTAAAGGTGCCACGGGACTGTTTTGCGATCTGTGGGGGGGGGGGAATGTGCAGATCTGCCCTCACAGGGGAGGGAGAGCTTGTACCTGAATAAACCTTGGCCATAAAGGTGCCACTGGACTCCATTGGATTGCTATTTGGGGGGGGGGCTCTGCAACTTACCTGGCTGCTTCTTGCTCCTTGTGGCCCAGGGCTTCTGGGAGCAGGGGGCGGGGCTTGTTGCATGTGCCCACCCCCTGGGCTCTTTACTGCCAGAGCTCCGTTCCTGTGCGCTCCTGCAGGAAATGACCCCTGGATCTTGGTCTAAAAGGCTGCAGAGGCCCAATTCAGATTGGGACCACAGTGTGGGAGGGGGGAAGGAGTGGCTCCAGACTTTAAAATGTGCCATTTTTTCTGACCCCAATGGCTCCAGAGGGTCTTATTTGCCCCTTTAGGGGGGCACACATGCGCTGAATGCTTGCACATGCAGCCCCTAGGGGCATCTTAGGTCAGGAATATGATGCGGAGGGGAAGGGTGTAGTTCCTTTTCTCCTGTCCATGGTCCCAATTTGAATCCAATTCCTGTATTATTATTATTTGTTTATTTATTAAATTATGTTTCTAGACCTCCCTCCCCTGTGAAACAGAGCTCAGGGCGGTATACAACAATAAAAACAGCATTCATAGAATAAATTCACAGTTAAAAACAATATAAATACAATACTTAATCTAATTAGACGGTGATAAAACTTCCAAATTGTGCCACAGCATCAGGGGGGGGGGAGAGACAAGAATGCCAGCCAAGATGGAAACTGTCCCTGTCCTCAACCAAACACCTGGTGTGGATCTTCTCTGCCTTGCAGGCCCTGTGGAACTTCATTAAGTCCTGCAGGGCACGGATGTTATTTGGCAGAGAGTTCCATCAAGTTGGATCCAGGGAAGAAAAAGCCCTGGCTCTGGTCGAGGACAGCCGGGTGTCTCTTGGGCTGCAGACCACCAGTAGGTTCTTATCTGCTCAGCGTAGCGTTTTAGAATTGAGTTCCTGCAGGACACTTGCATCTGGCACCCTGCGGCCATTCCCAGTTGGGATCTCATGTTAAACGTAACGTGTAGATTGCGCCTAAAGACCAACGGCGTAATTATATAGCCTCTCCCAACTGAATATGGAAAGTACAATGTACATGAACTTCATTTACCGCCTTCTCTGGGCAAAGCTTTCACATTCATTTTCAGGGCTCGAGTGTAAATTTTTATCAGCCCGGTACAAACATGCTCACAAACGCAACCCAATTGCAATCTCATCTGATTTATACAGTCTCATGAATCATGAATTGAGAAGTTCCATCGTTTTTCTGAAATGTCATAAATAGTTCATATCATGTAATGAGATTACAGCCTGGGCAGCCCCTCCCCAATGAATTGCACCCATTTCTTCATGCTTGGGCCCTGAGTGGTGGGCTGCCTGCGTAACTTCACTTATACTCTATCTCTCTCCAGTGGGGACCCCAAAGTGACTTACATTGTTCTCCTCTCTTCCACTTTATCCTTACAACAACCGTGTGAGGTAGGGTAGACCAAGTGTGTGATTGTTCCTGAGGTCACCCAGCAAGCTTCCATGGCAGAGTGGGGATTTGAACCTGAATCTTCCACATTGCTGTCTTGACACTCTAACCACTACACCACACGGGCTCTCTCTCGTAAATATCTTTCATCCTCCAAAAAAAAAAAAACCTCTTTGTACACATAAAATAATACAGAGTTCCTTCTTCCTAGTCCAGTGTAAATTATTTTTAACAAGACTAAGAAGAAAAGGTATATAGACAGTGAAAATGTATAAAACAACATAATTAGGAGCATATCAGCAGAAAACGGCCAAAATTCTTGTGATTTTAAAGACATGCTCCACTTCTACTGAAATCAGTGCTAAATTCCCACTGTCCTCGGTCAACCTCCTAGCTTGTGCCACACCTCCTTCATATATCAAGGTACTTATATAAGCCCCAAAGTTTTGTTACCTGGATTGTTCCTTGGGTGGGGATCCATAGCTCCAGCTGGTGAATTGTGCTGCTATGTAATGCTCTCGGAGCCGAGCTGCTCTCACAGTGGGAATCTCCAAATCTAGCCAGCCCAAGGCCAGGAACGTCAAGAGAAGATGCCCACAGGAACTTAGGAACATGGTACAAGCTCCCATGGATATTGTTCTGCTGAGAGACAGATGAGGTATATACAGTTCCTGCTGCAGCTTGCAACTTCCCCAGGAAAACTATATCCTCTGTGGCTGGTGTTGCAAGGGACAGTGGTGCTGGCAACGCTTAGGTCATTGCTCTTTTCCTCCTCCCCTCCCACTTTTGAGAGGGTCACAGAAGAATCAGCTGCTGATTTCTCTGCAGAGGGGCAAATGGTGCAAAGCAAGCTCCACTCTACAAGGCACAGCAGGTGGTTTAACTGGGCCATTGCCCACCAGAACAGTAGCCAGCACTCATGTGGATCCATTTAGGTCAAGAGGAATGCAGAGCCCACCTTCATAAAAGCTTCGGCCATTTCTCCTGTTGTTAAACTCGTATTCTCAAGATGCCTTTTTATCCTCCCAACAGTGGTCTGTGACAGGAATTTACTAGGCTTCCTAATGGTGTTATTTAGTGAAAAGGTATTCTCTGTTATGGAGCACACATGTACAGGGCATATCATTATTTGCACATTCATAACCATACTTTCCTAATCAAAAAGACAGACACAGCCTTACAAGACAGAATCACTCTAAACCTTACCACTTAAACATGTTCTTCTTTTACCTGAACAAAACTGAGTGAATAGTTTACCTTGTTTTGTTTCATGTTTGGCAAGGATACTCTGTGTGATTTGACAGGGATGTCAGATAAAGACTGACTTGGGGTCCAGAAGGGCCTGCAGCCAGGTGGCTATCCCTGCAGGAAACCATTATCTCAGTCTTATGAAACATTCAATAACTTGTCATTAAGGAGCAAAGAGAAACTAAAGTTCTGTCCATTGACTTCAACAAAATGTCACACCTAAGAAGATGTTCAGTGCTTAAACACTGAAGGCCAAAGGAGAAATCTACTTTCCGACAATGAGCAACAGAGGCAGTCACTGGAGCTTGGCACCTTAGTTTGTTTTGTTTTTTAAATTAATTCTGGAAGCAAGCATTTTGCGCAAGGGTAGTTGCTAAAGGATGTTCTACAGAGCTATTGGCATCATCATCATCAAACCATCTCATTTTTTTTTTGGGGGGGTGGCGGTTATTGTACCAGTTTGAAGACTGATGCCTTTGGAGCTGGGGGGTTGGCCTAACCTCTCACTGACCACTGCAGGAAGCCTACTCTGGTATGAACCTTCCTGTTTCTAGGTCCACCAATGAACCCCTGTGCAAGATTCCATCTTGGATAGATGTAGCATTGGCATTCACCAGTAGCACAGCCACCTGAGCGGTGCTTTCTCATAAGGGAACGTTACACAGAAGAGATGTTAAGTGGTCCCCCCTCACCTAATTCTTACCCCGAGCAGGCAAAGATCATTTTGTCACCCAGCCTTTCATATTAGATAAGATCTATACCAGATAAAGAACTGGAAGGTTTCTGCTTGTTTTTAATTTGATAGTGTTTATTGTTTGTGCCTTCCTTGTCCCACTTTGAGAGCTTTCAGCTATACCAGTTATGGGGGAATATCAACTTTTGGGGGGGGGATCAGAGATGCTCATCTTCTGAATGAAACATGAGATAAACCTGATACTTGAAACTTTGTTCTCTATGCACAACTATCAAAATAATCATTAAAAATACTTGTTCTGAAAAGGCAAGAAGAATCCACTATAGCCTTTTTTAAAAGGAAAAGTTGATTTCCGGTCTATTTTCCTTACAGATGTAGTTTCTAAGATACCAGAAAGGTTTCCCCACAGCCTGTTTTCTTGGCATCATATTCAGGATAGTACATATATTTTCTATTTCTCCTTCCCCAATAATATTCCTCTCTTTTTCTTTGGTATTGGTTTGCGTATTCCCAATCTGAAGTGGACTAAGTACAGTCGTCTTTAAAAGGCCCTGGGTTCACACAAGGCTTTGTAGCTTGGGTGTTCAAGCTTCTGCCAGTCATCAACAATAGCCCTTGTAGGAAACCATCCATTTTATACCTGTTCTGCTGCCAGTCTAGATAACACAGGCATTTCAAAACTTTTAACAAAAAACAGGTACTCATTCTTCATACTGAACAACCCACATGAGGAACTCAACAAAAAACAAAACAACAACAACCCCTCTTGTATTGGATCCTGCAATGTGGAAGCAGAAAAATAAATGGAGTACAACAGTTTAACTTGCACAAGATTTTGTGCAACATCTAGTGCTTTCCTCTATATACTGCCCAGAAGTTAATTGCACAATATCCTGAGCAAGGGGAACACAACTGGAAATACAATATGTTTGACTTAGTGCATGCGGCTACCATGGTCATCATCTTGCACTTCTGCTTACATAAGAGCTCAAGCACAAGCAGAAATTTTGCCAAAGATCAAACCCACTATAACTACAATAATGATTTATCAGATATTATTAGCTAACCTTTGTGCACCAGGGCATTTTTATAAAGGTAATATAGGGCTATAGTATAACAGAATTGTTTTCAAAGATATTTTTACAAAGGGACCAGGAATGTCGTCTGTATTACTATGTATGGTATGTATCATCTGTTTGTTATATGTATTAGCCCTGGTCTTACTGCATTACTTTCTACTTTGTAGTTCCAATTTTCTGCACCACTTGACATACCATGTCTGATACTTAATACTGCATCTATTTTTTGTAATTCTAGTCCTATTGCACTGCTTCTTAGAACTCTCATGTTGTTTGATTTCATTGTTTTACATCATGAAACCCACCTTGAATCTCAGTGAGACAATAAAACAAAGGTTCAGTAAGGAGAAACACAATAATTTTATTAAATACCTTTTCACTATTCAGCATCAAAGCTTAATCTTAAAAACAAAAACCGTGCATTAAAGAGGAGGAGGAGAGGAGGAGACTGGATTTATACCCCGCCCTTCACTACCCAAAGGTGTCTCAGAGCGGCTTACAAACTCCTTTCCCTTCCCCTCCCCACAACAGACACCCTGTGAGGTAGGTGGGGCTGAGAGAACTCTTGACAGAAACTGCTCTTTTTCAAGAACAGCTGTGCAAGAGTTATGGCTTGCCCAAGATCATCCAGCCAGGTGCAAGTGGAGGAGTGGGGAATCAAACCCGGTTCTCCCAGATTAGAGTCCACATACTTAACCACTACACCAAAAGTGTGCCCACACCTGCAGAGGAGAGGGGGATGGCAACAGGCATTTTAGTGGTGGCTCATTGGCTTTGGAATGCCCTCAAGGCTTTCCTGGCACCCTAAGTGAAATATTCGGCCACAATTAAGCCATTTTCACAACTGCTAAAGACAACTTAAAATATGTATACAGCCCACAAAGAAGGGCTGTTTCAGTTCCTCATTTATTTTGTCAACAGAAAGAAGTTGATGTTTACCAGCATCACACATACTAGCTCTTTAAAAAAAACCTAAATGGGAGACAACTGCTTGCCAGATTCATTGAAAAGGTATCAGTCCTGGGGAGGGATCACCACAGTCAGTTTAATGGACTGATATTACAATGAGAGCTATTGGGTAATATTTTATGTGGAATCACAGAAAACATCATTTTGTGACATAAGCCACAACTTGGAAAAGGGAAAGATAGCACAATTTTACTCATGCAGCCACACCTGGCTTTGGTCACTACCATTCTGAGAATAAAACATTAGTTTCTAAACTATGACACATCTGTTAGTTGACAAATCTTAGGGTGCAAGTTTGCCAGTTTCCGTGGAACACCACAGCAGAGATTCTAGATGACACCTGCAGCCCCTTCAGCTATTGCTGTAAAATAAAACTTCCCATTTATGAACCTAACATTTTTCTCCCAAAGAAGAAATAGTGTTGGTAAGAATTCTCCCACCACAGAAGACCAAGAACTGATTATTTCCACTTATTGACAAAATATATTCTACTGACGCACACTGGCTGCTGGATGAAAAACAGTTGCTTCCTCTTCCTTTCAGCTGCCAGGATAGGGAGAAGGGGACAGTTTCCTGGAATACTCTCAGCACCAAACATTCCTTTGGGTGATTTCATTTCCTAACTTAAAGATGACAATGTGCATTAAGCAGTTGGGGAAAACTGCAGGTATTTTTTACTGAAAGAGAAAGCAGCCATCAAATGAGCAGTTTTACAGACCAGGTCCTGTTGTCTTTTGAAGGCAAGATATGACTATTATCTTTGCAAAGAGAAATTCCGCGTTGGAAGAAAATTAAGCAGAAGCCCACTGTACGCATAGGGATGCATAGTCATACTACCTTCCCATATATCCTGTTCAGTGCAGAACCAAAAGTGCAGTTATACAAAAGAGCATGGCTGTTGCTCTTTTGACATCAGCAAAAATTCTGCCCATACACAACTGGAATTCAAATCCTTAAAACATTAAATCTTGGATAAACAAGGTTTGGGAACTTGCTAAACTATCCAAGTTAACTGAATTGTCTAAACTAAGTGATGATCAAGTTAATGAAGCGATTTCCCCCCCCCCCATTGTTGGAATAATGTGTTACATCTTGACACTGATATATTTACCCATTGTGCAAACTTTTCATAGAGCCGTAAATGATGCAACTAGGGCAGTTTTGAAGCTTATTCAAGAAACAGGATTTAAAATCAATTGGGATAAACCTCAACTGGTGCAGAAGGAAGTAAAACACTTAGGGATATGTCTGGGCTAAGAAAGAATGGCCTCAGATACAAAAAGATTGGAAGCTATAGGAAAATTGCCAGATGCAAACAACCAGCCCATTCTTTAAGAGCAATCCTAGGAATGTTAAACTTCTCCTGGGAGTGCATTGAAGCATTTGCTGAGAAAACCCACCCTTTAAGGGTTTTTTTGAAAACAAATCACCAATGGGAACGAGGTCCAAAATAGGCAGAGATAAGTCATACAACTGAAGCAGGATTCGGTTCAGGCTTCAACTCTGGCATATTATGGAATAGGAGAGCCATTTATAGTATGGCTGGCATCAACAGATGCAGCTATTGGAGCCACTTTAATTCAGGATCAGGATGGGAAACAAAGAGTGATAAGCCTAATGCTCA